ACTAGTTTGTAACTGATATTTATACACACATTGTTGTGTATAGTAAACACGGACACACGTGATTTAATAACTAATTAGTTCACATTTATACTGTTATCTGTTGTTACATTAACAATCATAGACAACACAAGGTGTATATTTTTTGTGTGTGCTTGTGAGTGGATTAGTGGCAGCTGACCGATTACACATTCTATTGACTTGTAAAACAGGTCAGAATACAGTATGCAAAGTATACTTCCCCTAGTTTACTAGCCGATCCTAAGCCCGAAAAAAGAGAGAAGGCTGAGAGTGCAGCTGGTCACCCTATCCCGAAAAATCAATCCAGTTGCGACAGAAACTTCAAGTAACAGAAAAACATATAAAAAAATTAAGTTATTCTTCACTGGAATGGAAGACGTAAAATGACTCCAGGAAGTGAACCCACTCAGACGATACGTTTTCTTTTGATGAAAGCAAAAGTAAGCAAATAATTGAATAGAATTTCCGCACTATGTTTGAAGCTGGTTGGCAAGGACTCTCAGACTGCGAAAGAAATGAGAAAATATGGCATTGGAATGCTAAGCATCTGTGAGAATAATAAATAGAGGTAAATGAAGACCTGGTTCGGCCGATGGCCGGTAGACTTTGGTCTTCTTCTCATGTGGCCACGAGTTCACGGCATATGTCAGGTAAGTCCTATTTAATGCCTTCACACGGTGGGGGTGTTCTTCACAGAAATGAAACGACTAATGTTAACGTCTGGCGATTACAACAGAACTGATGAACATGTAGATCTATCTAGGAGAGCTAGGAAATCCTAATTTTAAACCTAAGGTGTACGCTGCTTTACTGACTTGTGGATCAGACTTCACGTCAACGGCTCGGGCGTTGTTCCCTTGAGACAATCAACTTCTTTGACCTAGACATCCGAGCAGTACCTCAGCCGTCGCACAAAATATGAGGTTTTTGTGAGGTGCACGTCTTGGTTCTCATAATGTACTATTTTTGCGTTTCGATAAAAAATATTATATATACTTGTCTTTCACAAATATCACAAAGTAATATCGCATGTTTGTCGGGTGACAATGAAGGTCCAATGTTATCATCCTTGGATTAAAGGAAGCTTGGAAGCTGGGATGCAAGTACATCCACCGACGAGTCTCAAAGATAGCATGAAACACTTATCGTCTTATCCAGTGTTAGTCGCCTTCAAACAAAGAATATAAAATATGGCACTCTATTTTACACAGTTTGAATATTGATCCTTCGTGAAGCTAAATAAAATGGAGAATTATGATCACGGCTTTGAAGAAAATATTCCACTATGATTTGATTGCCCAGCTTTTATAATTATTATTATTTCCTTGCGTTCCGAGTTGAACACAGGGCTACAACAACACATCTCCACTTTGTTCTGTCTTCTGCCGTCCTCTTCAGCTGGCTCCACGATTGACCAAACTCTTTCATGTCTCCCTCACACGATCTCCTCCATGTCACCCTAGGATGACCCACTCGTCGCTTCCAGTTTGGATTCCACTCGAGGGCCTGATGTGCTATGTCATTCGGTGGCCTCCTCAATGTATGCCTGATCCATCTTCATTTTCCCCCACATATTTGTTGAGCGATCGGCTCTTGGTTTGCCTGTTCCCACAGTTTCTTGGTGCTTATTCTTTCTGGCCGGCCATTTGATCTTCACTATGCAGCGAAGGCAGCTATTGATAAAAGTCTGCAACCTGTTGTAAATCCTTTTTGTGACATGCTGGTGAATTTTTTGACTCGTAAAGAAGAGCCGACTTCACATTGATGTTGAAAATGCGGATCTTGTCCCTTATGCTGAGTGCGGAATATTTCCAAACTGGTTTCATGTTGATAAAGCCGTATCTTGCCTTTCCGATTCTGACTTCGACATATTCGTCCGTTCCACCTATAGTTGAAAAGATGTTTCCCAGACATCAACCTCTGTTAAATCTCTCCCGTTGATTATGATTGGTGCTGCTTATTGTTGCTGTTGATTGGTTATCTTCATCACCTCTGTCTTCTCTGTGTTCACCTGTTTTCCCTGACTCTTCAGCCAGTTTGTTGGTTTTGTTGGTTTGACTGCCATTCTATGCTTAGTTTTATGGCGATGCGTAGAGTTGCAATTTGATCAGCACATGATTCGCCTTTGCTGAAACCAGCTTGTTTCGGGCTGAGTCCTGTATCCAGTGCATCCTTTATTCTCTCCAGGATGATGCAACTTAGTATTTTGCTTGGCGTGGAGAAGAGCATTATTCCACGTCATTTCTTGCACAGACTTAAGTGACCCTTCCTCGGCAGTTTGACGAGGTAGCCCTACTTCCAATCAGTAGGCACCTTTCATTCTTTCCAAACGTTTTGCAGTAATGGAGTGAGAACATCTGCCGTAATCTCTAGGGCTTTAGGAGGAACACCGTCTGGTGCTGCTGCCTTCCAGGCTGGACTTCAGTAGCTTGTTCGCATTCAGTATTTCTTCTTTTGTTGGAGGAGTGGTGTCCACTGATATTTCCATGTGTACTGTTGGTGGTGTTTCTGGGCGAGTTGCCGGTGGTGGTAGATTCAAGAGTCCTTTGAAGTGATCACCCCATTGTTTGATTTGTTTCTATACGTTGGTGATCAGGTTTTCGTGAGTATCTTTTATTGGTTTCATCATCTGGGTTGATCTCTTTCCGTATAGAGACTTGGTTATCTGATGTAGTGTCCTGATGTCTGTTGCCTGTGACCTGCCTGTTCTGCTACAGCTGCCAGTGTGTCGTAGAACTGTCGTTTGTCTTTTCTAGCACTCATCTTCACTTCTTTATTCAGTGCAGTGTACATTGATCTCAGCTTCTCCTTCTGTTGTCCTTCTTCACATAGAGTCATCACCATTCTATTTCGCCATCTTCCTCTCCTCAATTAGCTTCCAGGTATCTATTGACACCCATTCCTTGTCTTGTCTCTTCCTTCTTCCTAGAACAGTTCTACACGTTTCCTTGAATATCGCTTTCAGAGTGTTCCAATGTTCTTCCACACAGGTTTCCTCAGTAATGTCACCTAGTGTCTCCGACTTTGTTCTGATCTGGTCTTTAGTGGAGGTATCCCTTGTAGTTTCGTCTTTCAGTTTCTGAATGTTGAACTTGAGTTGTGGTCTGTCTCCATTTGTTCTCATTGATTTCAGCTTCACCTTGAAGGTTCCTTGAACTAGATGATGGTCTGAGCCCACATCTGCTCCCCTTCTCGACTTTGTATCCATCAGGCTTGCTGCATCTCCACTTCCTTGAGATTGATGTGAAATCTATTTGGTTTGAGAAATGTCCGTCAGGCGAAGTCCATGTTGCTTTGTGTATACACTTGTGTTTGTACACGCTCCCTCCGATCACCGAATCATTGGAAGAGCAGAAGTTTGTAAATAATTCTCCGCTCTCATTCATTTCTCCGAGAGCTTCTCGACCTATGATGAGTTCTCTTCCTGTATTATCTTCTCCCAGTTTGGCATTCATATCGCCCATAGGGATTTTGATGTCACCATTTGGCATATTGTCCATTATTGTTTGTAGTTGTCTGTTAAAATCGTCCTTCTTTTCTTGTTCCGCGTTGTTTGTAGGTGCTTAGCATTGGATAATCACTAAGTATAAAAAATGAAGTGTGTTTACAAGGGCTATTAATAATATATTAAGGAGAGTATTTTTCTCAGTTATTTTTCTATTAGAGAGGTGCTTTCTGTTTTTCCAGCTGGCTTTGCAAACTTGGTGTCGTCATTAAGAAACATTCAAATCCCTTCTATGTAACTTGATTTGTTTAACAGGACAACTCCACTACCTTTGCAGGGGACCTAATAGCGACCTCGGTAACGACACGAAACATCAGAATGAAAATCCAAGTTAATAGAGAAATTTTAAACAGTGTATTATAGAAAATTCAGTTAATGATTTATAAAAATTAATGGTTACCTGATGATACGGTTAAAGTTACAAATTATTGATATCATGCACAGAAGTGTTCACTACTTGGGTCCTGTCTACTAGTAGAAGCTGTGCACCAGTTGTAGAATAGTCGTTGGATGAGGATGAGAGGTTCCTGCAAATTTCAATGGATACAACACGCTTTGTAGTGAAACGAGTAGACGGCTTGGACAGGTGAGAAGACAGAACGATGAGCAGCACATTATATTTTAGATTGTACTCCAAAGTTATATATATATTTTGCAATGAATGGCTTTCAATAAAAGATATATATATATACTGTTTCCATTTGTTACATCTAACAAAAAACTGTGCAATCATGCAACTTCAAACTCCACACCTTTGTTCGGACGTGCGATGATCAAATCTAAATTGTTGATTAGTTCTCTCATTTCTTCGGCGTGTGTATTAGTTAGAAGTCCGTGATACTTCTTCATTGAATTACCTAAGAAATCACAGATGTGCTCTCTATGGTGTCTTCGATATTAATTCGATGATCGAATGAACAAAATTAACAGTCGAAAATTTGCAACAATTTAACAGCAACAAATTTTTTACATACTAGCTAACTCTGCCGTCTACTGAATTGTTATTCAGTAGATAACAACAATTCGAGGTAAATTTCTAAGCCTAATAATTTCAATTTGGATTTTATATCCTTTTTAAATAATACTGGGGTTTAATAATTCAGTCTCCTGAAGTCATAGTGTGTTCTGTCAACTATCTGATGCCATAGCTAACACGTAAACCATCTGAGGAAAAATTTATACTATTCTAAGCATCACATTAATTCAAGGCGGCACAGATGACAGTGTTAATACAAGCCAGTTTCGGAAAAGCAAAAAAGATTTTCACTACTCTGAAACCAGCCTGGAAATCTACTTCACAAAGCATAAGAAATAATATCAATGGTATAAACGGAATAATGGTATTAGATAGACTAACTAAATTTTAGTACGCATATCAGGTAATCTAAACAATTGTAAATGTTAACTTATTTTCGACTTTGAATAATATTCACAAATACTGACTCCTTAATTTATTTTTTGTTTCATCCCATGAAAGAACCAGACCCACCTGTAAATGTAACAATTTCACAAATTAGATCAACTGAGTTCATCATCCAGTGGACAGAAGTAGCACAGAATTCAGCATTTATTGTTCATTGTTATGTAATTCACATATATTCTACTGATGTGAATATTTCTAACCAATTTCAAAAGTTCAACATTTGTAACACAAATGAATTTCATATGAAATCATTATATCCAGGAGTGAACTACACAATCTATATACAGTCAGTTGATTCAGTTTATGACATACTTAGTATACAATCAGAGTATGCAACAGCTATTACATATCCAAACAGTAAGTTGATAGTAACACAGTATAACTAATAAGATATGCTTCTAATCTTTTTTGTAAATACAGGAGTAAATAAGAACTGATAAAAAAATGATCAGAGTAATCCCAGCTATCATCCTGAATTGAATATGAACGGACAACCAATCTCGGTTTATAATGAAATCTGATTTGAAATCAAATAAATCATTACAAATCAACAGTTGAAAATTAAGAGAAGAGCCTTTCAGCTAAGAGTTAATCTTTTCAACGATATCATTCTCAAGATGTACAATGGCATATATGTATATGGTACATTTTCATAGCATCAAAAGGAATCTTTTCAAAGATTTGTCACTTAAATCATAAAATACTGATAATAAACTACGAAGTATAGAAAGCCTTATTCGGGTGAAAACTAAAATAATATATTCAAGAGTTGGTTCGCAGAGAATTGTTTGGTTTTTGGATTTCATCACGAGCTGAACCAGTGGAAAACCTGGCAATACTAGACGTCTGTTTCGTCCTAGTTTGGGACTACTCATAAGTACGCAATCACTGGGACCCGATCCAATGGCCAGTCAGTGCGTGTATTCTAACTTCAGCCAATTCACGATATCGCGTGACCACTAGCGAATGTAATTGGGGAGTATTTGTCCCTATATCCAACCTGCTGTACCTCACTGGTTATGACTTCTCACTAGAACGAGCTTGCCTTGTAACGAGAAGGTCCTTGGTTCGAAACCTGGTGGATGCGTGCTGATGAAGAGTCTCAAACTTGGACGAAACAAGCGTCCAGTACTTCCAGGTTTTCCAATGGTTCTGTAACCAACGTCACATCATGATGAAATCCTAAAATAAATAGGGAAACTGAGTGACGTAATATAACTGAAAGAGAGCAAAGTTAAGAACAGTAATATTAAGGAGTAGAAATGTAACAGTGGGGAGAGAGTTCTACCCAATCTTACCAATAACGTTGCGTCACACAATTTAGTTATATAAGTTCATTTTAGTTTCTATCCAATTCATACTTTTTTATCAGTAAATATTATCTAAAATTTATGATTCTGATGACACATCTTTGAAAACATTCTTTTCGTTGCAATGAAAATGTAACGTGGAAATATTTATGATTATACAGTTTGAAAATGACATCACTGTATGCCTCTCTTTTAAATGATTCAATAGGGATTTTAAAGTTACTTGAAAATTAATCACCGTCTTACTGACTGACTACAGGATAAAAATTTCTATAAGAAGTCATTAGGGGTGAGATCTACCAAGTTGGTTTTCTCAACCAATATAAGCCTGTCAAGTTGGCTGGTAGCGCTGCCATATACTGCGAATTAATAGAAGTCAGAATTCTATTTGAACGGTTTTCCCTTGTAACCAGAAGGTCGTGGGTTCGATCTACGGTGGGGTAAAGGTGCATAATGCTGAAGAGTTCCAAATAGTAATAATACAGTCAATTGTTATCCGTCCTCTTTAATGATCCTCTAACTGATATCAAATCCCTACAATCCAACACTTAAGAAATCTTAGATCACGTTGTTTTATTTGCTTTCAGGTTAATTTTCATTTCCCGTTGATTGATTACATTGAACTGAAATACTCGATCTCTATTGATATACTAACTCCTGGAACAGACGCTTTCACAATAACTAAAAATTACTATGAAGCTGTTCTAACTTCAACAGAGGCTTAACATTTCAGTCCCGATAGAGATCAATCAACAGTAAATGCAAATTAAATGAAGCAATGCATAGGTTTTGTTTTACTTTTCACGGTTTCCCAGTTAATATCACTTTATAGCTAAATCTGCTGTGAAATCAAAATACATTCTGTTTCTTTATTTATGACCCTGCCTTAAAATACTGAAGACACCGATTTTGTCGTTAGGAAAATAAAAGGAATTCAGTGAAAGTAATTTTGTTTCTCAAAAATATCATCTCCAAAGTCTGTTCAGTCTGTTTAGTAAAATGAACAGCAATCTGTTGCTTAGTAATAACGGTGTGTGTGTGTGAGTGGCATCACTGACACAGCCACTTACATTTAGATCCTAGAGATAAGAAAAAGTTATAATCAACGGCACAATAGAAGCGTAGGTACCAAGATTTGGCTAAGTGGAAATTATCAATAAATAAGAAGTGAGTTAGCTGAATAATCACTTGACAAGTGTAGGGAAGGGGAGAATCAAAGCTGAATGGTTGAATGTACAAAAACAGCATGCAAGACTGATAACATTGAATTCATCACTAGAACTAGAAGCACACAAATAGGAAGGAGTTGAAGCCAACACGACAATAAGAGACAGAATGAAGTTTTTCTATTCGCAAATTTCGGGCTCGAATTAATGAACTGCTAATGCCTCTAACATACTTTACTTACTACTACATGTTTTGCAAATAGTCCATTTCGACAATAGCTTAAGTGTAACAACCTGTTGTCTACACTTTAAATACAACGTTATAGATTTTCTAAAAATTTCCAGAAGCTTACACAGGATGTAAAATGATTTCTAGTGTTTTCCCTAGAATGCATTCAAAACGCCAGAGGAAACCACCTGGACATCTTTGATTGATTTATTTTTCTTTAAATCAATTTTATCTTTCCCATTGATTGATTGAAACGAAATCCTTGGCTTCTTTTGACATGTCGGCTCCTAATTTGAACGCTCCACCGATGTCTAAGGAAATGATGCTGATGTTATTTTGAAGGGTTGTGACTGATACTGGAATCCGGAAAGTATGTATAGTCCTCCTATTCCATCTGATGAGTTCCAAATTTCTGTTCATTCAATCAACCGTTAAAAACTCAAAAAGGTTTAAACAAAATAATAACTTATCCCGGTTGCGCAAGAGATGGTACTCGTAGTCTAAGTGGTCTAATGGACAACACTTTGACGTTTAAACGAAAGGATACTGGGTTTGAGCATTCAGTGGTAAACAGGATTCATTTTAATTTACTTTTATTTATATTAAGCAGTGTTCTCTTTATAACCAATTTTTCCCATTATTGATAAACACAAGTTTATAGAGTAATGAGGACGATAAGTTGGTTGGTGCAGACAGTTACTCACCACAGGGTAGGGTGTGGGAACAAAGTGTGTGTGTGTGTGTATGTGTATTTTGCATTCCTAAATAGCGAGAATGAAAGCGCATAGGTCATTTAAATTTGAGGCATGCAGTCAGATTTTTAATGTGATCCCAGTAATAAGTAGCTGTACAGAAGAAAGTTTTGAGTGCACACTGAATGGTATCAAAACAGGGAATAAAATACTTGTTCACAATAAGAGCTACATTTAAAGTCATCCACTACACTAGAAACACCCTGAATGACTTTTCTCCAACACTATTTTCTTTCATGCATTTATTGTATTTAACTTCTTCATTTAGAACCAAATCCCCCAGAGGATGTAACAGTCATCAGCGTAAATCCGAATAAATTTACACTGAACTGGTCAGCACCAAAGCAAGATCCAGCCTTCACTAACACTTGTTATTTGATATTCAATCGACCTTTACTAAATATAAATCAACCCTTTAAACAATTCAATGTATGCAGTGGTGAGAATCAGTTCACTGTTGATTCTCTTTTACCTGGAATAAATTATACAGTCTACATGAAGTCATTTGCATCTGTTTACAATGTATACAGTGATGCTACAGAACTGTTAATGGTCTATACACATCCAGAGTGTGAGTTTTTCTTATTAATATCCCTTCTTCATTTTACCTATTTTAAGTTGATGCAACTTGTTCATGCTTATCACTAAGACTGGTAGTAATGTGTCATATCATTCTTAACTCTGTTCATGAAAATCTATTCACTTGGTATACAGTATACTCGTAAAACTTGTTGATACAACACCGATGTAAACAGGAGTACAAATCTGTTAGTAGTGTTCTATGTTAGGCTATTAGCTGACTGATTTAAAATATACTCACCTCATTATTTTAAGTACATGGCTTTCAGTCAGTAGATGGCGGTTTTGCATTACACTTCTAAACTAATTTATCTTAGGCAACTGTATAGTAATGATAGTACGCATACAGTAGATGTTGCTGGTAATCTGTTATATGAAGATTCTGATGTCAGCAACTAGGTTTCAACCCAGCCTGAGCAAGTGACTTTGAAATCTGAAACTGTGATTCGGCACGTTACTAAATATATTTGTCTTTCAAAATAGCTTACAAAACTTTCTTTGTAAAGAATAAATTTACACTGAAGGTGGTACTGAAAATTCTGTAAACAAGGACAATGAAAATGTCACTATATTATTCAGCAAATGAAATAGTCCCCTTGTAAGTGTAGTTGTGAGATGTGACAGAATCAGCATAGGCAGTTTATATCATACTGATAGATGTATGCAGTGGAGTGAATGAATGATTACCTAATGCTTTCCACTAGTAAACGATGGATTCTTGTCTTGCCATAACCTAAATAGAAAAACATCTTAATGACAGCATATTCTAAAGCATCTCACTACAGTAAGCTATACTAAAATGAGTGGGACCCTGCTGTGTTACCAACCGAAGTCATGAAATAATCGAAATAAGTCCATACAAGAAAGCAGTTCAAGTAATAGAAATAATGAATCAGAAGAAAATTCATAAATAGGCAGGAGAGAAATAAAAGGAACTTGGATTAATTGTGAGACATTACTAAGAAAAAATATGTTAGTTCCACTCAAGTGAGTTATTAGGAATTCTGAGTCGTATAGTCAGCAATATCTTTATTTACATGTATTGGTTTGCAGAGATTTGATTGGCTTCAAGTTAGATCAGTTAGAGAATCAATAAAAACTGGATAGTATTGGTAGCAGTTTTGTTTTACTTTGGTACTCTTCAGATTCTTGAATCGATTTCAGTTCGTGATCTAACTTGAACTGATTCAGCTCTCGGAGCTCAATAAAACTAGTAACACCTCTGACGAGTTCGACTCCACATGAGCTAAACGGCTCTCCCGTGCCTATATCACTTCAGACAGTCTGATAAGCACCACTAGTTGATGTCAGCAGTATACAGTTATTCATCCTACTTAATCAGTAGTATACGGAGGTGGTCCGGATATGCTGTCGGATTCTGAACATTCTCCCTATTCATAACTTTCTCCTTCTTTGTCCAAGAATATCTGGAGGAAATTTCATTAGAATTTATTCTCTTACAGTCTAATGTAAGAATTTAACCATGCCGTATTTAGCACAGGTGGTGGTTGTGTGAAGAGTTGAAAGACAGAAAAAGACTTACTGAAGTGCTTTATAATCTATAAACAAATAAATAAATTTGAATTTACCTGTTGATCAGCTTATATTGGACTGAATGTTGACATGTAAGCTACTACCTTGAGCGTTTCAACGATATTTAAGGATTCAAGTAAAGCTATTTTGTTGGGTGGTGACTAGACGTGGAATCCTGGATTTTTAATTCTTTTCGAACTACGAACCTCTCTTGGTCCTCGTGGCCTAGTGCAAAGTGCTTTGGAGCTTGACGCTACGGATTCTGTGTTCTATTTTCAGGGGGAGAACAGCCCTTAATTGGGACTACAGGCACATCCGCCTGATGAGTCTCAAATGCGCGTCCAAGACTTCACCCCTATCCACCGCTAACTGAAATAACTGTAAAAAAAATTATTGTTTCCCTACGAATAACTTGCATTATTATTTATTCCAGATCTTCTCCCACCCGTGAATATAACTATAACCAATATTAATATATTTGGATTCACCGTCAACTGGAACCGACCTGTACAGAATTCTGCATTCGGTAATGAATACTATTATGTTTACATTGCACCACTGCATAGTGAATCTACACAAGAACCAATCAGATACGAAGCTGGTACATCAGCAAATCAACTGGTTATTGATAATCTGACTTCAGATACATGGTATAATGTATTTATTCAATGTGTAGACAGTATCTATCATATCAGTAGTAGAAAGTCAGTGGAAATTTTAGTACATACATATCCTGAAAGTAAGTGATGCTTTCATATATATGAAATATATATATATATATATATATATATATATATATATAGAACATTTATGTAATCTGGAGAGTGAAAAGAAGAGAATATATCTGTTACGTAGTGAAACATTGTGAGTCATCTGAGTGACAGTCTCCAACCAGTAACCCTCACTATTCCGAGGATATTTATAGAGTTTCGATATTCTTCACCTCTTCATTAAGAGGTGACTGAAACTCTCGTCACTCAAAATTTTGCCTCTGAAGATATTTTGGTTTGAAAAGGCGACATCATCTCCAAGGTCCTGACTGTATACAAGATGTTTCACCATCAATAAAGCTTCATTCTGTCATTAGTTGGAATTATTTTCCATTTTTAATTAATTTGTTAGATTGAATTATAGTACTCTGCCTCTACTGATAAGTCAGCATCTTGTACAGACACTTCAAAAATGACCTGAAATAAACTTGATGTTATTTGGTTGATGGGAAGAAATCCACATCCTGGATTCCATTTATAGCCACTATCAACTAAGTGATTTCATGCCACATTCCTACAAATTTAGTAGGATGGTTTTCATCACAGCTTCAAACATCATCATCATCACATTCTACTAAATTCACTCTGTCAAGTTTAGATACTTAGATATTTCCACTAATTGTCTTTTGTTTTTGCTAATTTCATCAATCTGATTAACTCAATAATTGTTTCGCTGTTTTGCTTGTACTTACACAGCTGCTGAACGTGATAATATCAATCAATTAACAAATCTAATACTTCACACTTCATCAACACAAACAAATCAAATACAACAAGATAGTATGATTAAACTGTATTTACCATTATCTCTATTGAATGACTTTATACCAACAGTGTATATGGTTACACTTGTACTGAAACCAAGTAAAGAATCAGATTATAATGATGTTGATGCTTACTGTTCTGAAGGTTGTACAACACGTATTCAATATAATGATACTAATGAGATTGCACTGGTTGAACCAGTAGGTTATTTGCTTTTAGTTTATTTTAAATATTATTATTATTTGATATATCTCTATTTGAGTAAGATTTGATTGAGCAGGGAATTGTTTTTTCTGATAACTTCCTCTTCATTTGTTTCAATTAAGTGTACCTATACGAGGTGAGCACTAAGTTAGGGGCTTGAAACAATGGGTTATAGGCTTGAATCTTAATGGGAATACGACCACCCAAACTGAGAATTCAGGTAGATTAAGCTGGTGAGTTCCAAGTAGGATGGAATATGCATCTAGTAAATTTATTAATTGTTATCATCAGCCAAATAGCACTAGGTTAATCTTCAGATGCCATCGCAGGGACCGTACTATTAGCTAACATGTGAACAGGGATCAAACAATTCGGTCTTATATTATCAATCTACGGAAAATAAGACTAATTCATACAAATAATAGAACTTGCCTGCTGCACAGTAGGTGGCTATGGCCTTCTGGATCAAAATCTAGCGTTTAAAACGAAAGGTACCGAGTTGGAACCCCAGTGGGTACGCCACCATTCATCCGGCTGATAAGTCCCAAACAGGACGGAATGATTGTCCGCTGGATTCTACCGCTTGTAACCGTCGGCTAAACAAAGTACAAAGCTTGCGTATACCTATTACTTATAGCAGTTTAGTAGTATCGAATCAATAAACCAAACAACGATAATACTGAGAGGATTTATTTGAGATTGAAAATGTTTGGATTCAGAGTAATTACAAATTACGTTTTCCACACGTTCAATAGGAACGACACTGAAATTGAATAAAGAATTACGTAGACTGATCACCTACTGTTGTATTCACCGATTCGACTGTTGCTATTGGACTAGTAATATTGGTCATTCTTCTAGGAATTTAGCTATCCAACAAAGTAAGCCCCCTCAAGCGCGACTGAACAAAGGTATTATAAAGAATATAATTAGATCTATACTAACCAACCTAGTCTAAATGAATTATAAGCCTAAAACAGATCAATCATTCTCTGTGATTTACCAAATTACTACCAACCTGACAAAAGCGGACAGAAATCTTGTGTAGCCACCAGAATTGAAGCTTCATTTCAGACAGATTAAATTACCAATGAACTGAATATCTTTAGCCTCTATCTGTATTCATTTTACCAATTCACAGAAAGTTATTAGACAATAATTTAAAAACAAATTGATCCAAGAGTAGATCAAAGTCTTCTGTACTGTTACACAAAATTTACGCAAACAATTTAGTGGTTATATTTCTGACTGTAGCATTATGTGATACTGTTTCAAATCTCCACAGGATAGGGGTGGGGGGGACATCAGCACTTACAGGGTTGCAAACACGCCTGGCTGACATGTGCGAATAAACAAGGAAAACCAAGGCCAGATAGAGCTTCGCCCTCCACCGTGTTTACCTTCAATACGAAATGCCTATCACTAGTCGAGATCTTTTCTGAAGAGAATTACAACCTGTGTACTCTAAGTCTATGGAAGAATTGTTTCTGCAGAGATTAATTTTTCATTTCCAGTACAAAAATACATTAAAAATGACTGACTTAACTGGTAAAAATGCAAACTCCAGACATATTTGTACATATATATGCGACAATCACAACAATAAAATCCCACTCAATCCTTTTTTTTCATCATATTTTTTTTTCTCAACAGACATACAACAATCGTAATATGAATGAGAATGCCTCCTGGGAAATACTTGTACAATCTCAACCAATGCTCAAGAAGCAAACGCGTTTTCGACGTTCTGTTGACAACTCTAAACCTGAAAATTATTCTTATTCAAATGAATATTTTATAATCGGTGCAAATAATTTGTGTGTAGAGAATTCCCACAAATGTAATGGTCCACTGAAACCTGCAACACAATACAGGTTAGCTAATACATATATGTAATAGTAATACTTATTATTACTATTTTGATGCGGTTGTGTTCTCTCTCCGATGTAGGAAGCTTTTATTGTCTTTTTCAACAAAATCATTTCAGTGCGAACTTCATTATCAAGTAAACTTGCTTAAATTCCTTTTGAATGATGAAAATGTCTCTCTTGATGACCTTGTCTGCAATTAATTGTTAAATTCAAGTGTTGGTTTGTAGGGATTTGATTGGTTACAGGATTTCATCATGAGCTGACATTAGTTAGAGAGCCATTGGAAAGCCTGTGGGTACTGGACAGCTGTTTCGTTCTAAGTTGGGACTCTTCAGAAGTACGCACCCACCGGGATTCAAAACACCCAGGACCTTCTGGTTACAAGGCGAGCTCGTATACCATTAAGCCACTGGCGCCCGATCCAATGCCCCATGAATTCTAACTTCTGCCAATTCACGATATAGCGCAACCGCTAGCCAATGTCTTCGGCGAGTATTTGTCCTCACACCCGACCTGCTGCATTCCACGCTATACAAGCTCGCCTTGTTACCAGAAGGTCCTGGGTGTTTTGAATCCCGGTGGGTGCGTACTGATGAAGAGCCTCAAACTAGAACGAAACAGCTGTCCAGTACTCCCTGGTTTTCCAATGGCTCTCTAACTAATGTCAGCTCATGATGAAATCCTATAATTGTTAAATTATCTGAGTATTGATCGTTTTTATTGACTTGAATTTCATTTTTTTCTCGTGAGACTTATTCATCATGAGATGGTAAATTTGATCTCTGACAATGTCTTATGATCTCTGATCCGTATGTGTACCAGGCTTTTAGGAATTCCTTGGCATTATTTTTGTTGTCTTATTTGGTTGGAATTCCCATATTTTCTCAGTCAAATTGGAGTGTATAGTTTTCTATACACGTCTTTTGACATCCAGTTTATGTTCTTAGAATAGTGCTCTAATCACCATGATGCGCCCAATCACAACACGACAGTTGAAACAGTTAAGAAACAGTGTAACAGCAGAAGGCAAAACACGAAGCTAAGGCATTATCTTCAATTGATCAAACAGCTATATATATATATATATATATATATATATATATATATATATAGCAAATCATCCATCTGAGCTACAAATCTTCTCCATTATTTCAATATATATAGTTTATATTCTATTCTTTAACCAATCACTGAGCGTGTGATTTTGGTTTAAATTAAACTACAAGAAACAGAATATTCAAATACATATAGTATTCTGTTGCTAACGCAGTACTGAACTGTGGGAATATGTGAGAATAAAATTCCATTGGAGCACATTGTATACCACCACCACAATAGCACATTAATAAAAGCAGCTGTGTTGATAAAAATATAGGAATATGAAAAAAGGTAGGTGAATTTTGGTTGTTTATGTATGGTAGTAGAATCAAGGATGCATATTTAGTTCTATTTGGGACTCTTCATCTGGAAGTAACTGCATTCCCAGTGAGTGATGTTCCCCCTGGCACTTGAACGCTGGACCTATGGTTTCAAACGCCAAAGAATAATTTATTAGGCTACGAGGACTGCAAGAGCCACCTCCTGTGCAGTGGGTATTAAATAATACTTATGTTTAGCTTAATTTCGCATATCCTGTTGATTAATGATTACGTTGGATCGGAATACTTAATCTGTGTTGGCATGTCAGCTCCTTGTTTGAAAATGACGAATGAAGGGTTTGGGTCTCAGTGATGAAGCCAACACTTTCTTGGAATGCAGATATATGTGGTGACAAGTCCCATGTAGGATGAAATGAACATCTTGGATTCCACTGATAGCCACCACCTGATCCTTAGGAAGCATTGAAGCTTCCGTTCTAGAAGCCAACATGACAACAAAGACTGAGAATTTTGGTCCAAATAATCAACAGTCAACAGGAAATTGGCCTTAACACAAAGAAAAGGGTTACTTAGCTATCAAAAAGGCGCAGGTTATGGTTAGGTGATGGATAGATTAGAGTCGTTTGGTGTGTTCTCTGAGTTTGGGTGTTCGATTTATGCCTTAGATTATGCAAGATTTTGGAAGACACTATGTTTATTTGTCTCCGTTTAGCTCTTTGAGACTTACGCATATCACTTACTTTCCATAATAAAGATTTTAGAAATTTGGAAATAATAACAATAACAAGAATAATATTTGTAATGTAGATTTAGCCACGAACCGATATCAATTAAAGATCATTAAACACCAGAGAGCACCTGAGAGCTGTGTTATCCTAACTTGCAGCTCCTTAGCAGTGTGCAACTATGACACAACAAAGAAAGGGATCGAAGACCTTCAGGTTACGAGGCCATCCCGATAATCATTCAGTCACTGGGCCGAATTCAATGAACCATAAATTCTAATTTTTGTCAACTCGCGCAATATAGATATAAGTTTAAAACTTGGGCACTGTGGTAGAGTATAACTCCATTATGGATAAAATTTTATTTTGATAAAATCACACAGTGTTGTTATACAGTAATATTTACTGATGACAAGGTTTCGAGCACAATTTATTGCTACTCATGATCGTACCAAGGCAATATTAACATAACTTTCTCGCTTCATTTATAAACATGAGTAAAAATCAATGATTAGATATTTGAATAAAAATCAATATTAGATGAAGTACATTCGGAAACAATATTAGTGTAATCAATCAAATAAATCAGATGGAAAATAAGATATCTTTACAGTAAACATAAGTAACTTGTTAGAAAGTTATAATGTGAATTGAATACATTTTAACATTATTATTCTCCGATATGACTGGCAATAATATCTTCCATATATTTGGTATTCACGTTTAGTCATTCCTGTTGCATGTGTTGGCAGTAGACTCGATGAACCAGGGTTCAGTAATCAATCTCCCTCTATCTTCACCTACCTATTTTACTTCTTAGAATTTTAACCCTCTCCCACCCTATTGTGTGGTTGTGTGTTAATGCACGGAGTGCAATCGCTGAGCTTTTTTCTAAATTGCTTATCTTCGCGGGGTCAACCATTCTTACCTTAGCCACTAAATTCTTATGTTCCGACAATCTGACTACCCCCGATCTACTAGTTTTACGTATGTATTTAACCTAACTCACAGTCATTGCAAGGTATTTTGTAAATTATATCTTTTTGCTTAGTTGGGTCCATCGGGTCTTTTAGTCTACAGAGCTTGTCTCTGAGTGAGTTTGTAGGTCTGAATGCAACCCTTAGCCCTGCTTTATTAAGAATCCTACGTAGGGTCTCAGATGTCCCCTCCTCATATGGTGAAACTGTAGACGACGTATATTCTCTCATTTATGTTGTCATTATTAGTTTCACAATTATTTTTGTTTTGCTTTTGGCCTTTACTGATCTTCCTAATGAATTTTATGCGATGGTTATTCAACATCAACGCTTCTTCTATCTGTTTTATTTCGTCGTTTAGGTCTTTTTTGTACTACTTAGTGCTATGGCTTGGTTTGTTAGACACTTAACTTAGCCTGCCTTAACAGTTAACGGATGAGACGAATTAAAATCTAAATATCTATTAGAATGCGTTGGCTTTTTATAAACTCTAGTGTGCAGTTTACCTTCTTCTGTTCGTTTGATTTTACAATCTAACATAGCTAATTCCTTTTGATTTTTACGAGTTGATCACGGACTGATATCAGTTAGAGAACCATTGAAAACCAGGGAGTACTGGACAGCTGCTGTTTCATCTTAGTTCGGGAATCATCGGCAGTAAGCACCCACTGGGATTCGAATCCAGGACCTTCCGCTTACAAGGCAAGCTCGTATACCATTCAGCCACTGGGACCCGATTCAATGGCTCATGTGATCAACTCGTAAAAAACATAATAAACCCTTACAAACCAAACTTTAGATAATTTCTTTTGTTCATTTTCTGATTCAAATGTAACTTGTATTCCCTTCACTAGTGAGTTTATATGTGTCAAGAAGCTGGAGATATATCCTGTTTTTAACTGTGAAAGTGTCATCCACATATCTCCACCATATTTTTGGAGTAGGACTAAATGTATTTAGAGCAATATTTTCCCAACTGTCCATAAATATGTCTGCTACTATAGGGGATATTGGTGATCTCATTGCTACGCCTTCTGTTTGTCTATAGATTTTGCCTTGGAATTTGAAGATGGTAGATATGAGGCATAACTGAATTAGTAAAATAATCTCCTCAATGGGCAACTTTGTCCTATGAGCAAGTTCAAAATCTGCAGTTAGTTCTTTTTTAATTGCTTTTAAGGTAATATTGATTGGTATATGAATAAAGAGAGACTAGTTATATCAAAACTAACAATTTTTTCATTATTCTCTAGTTAAATGTCACTTAGTTTATTTTTCATCTCATATGAATTAGTTAGTCTAGAGTTTGAACGATTTCTAATGGGGCATACTATTAGAGCTAAGTGTTTTGATAATTCATAAGTAGGGGTATTCCTGAAATCTACTACTGGTCATATGGGGTAAACTGGTTTAAGTACTTTAATAGTACCATATATTCTACTAGCGTTATTAGTTTCAGGCATCAAATTAAACCATTTAGATCCACCAAGTGATGGCTTCATTCAGCGTATTAAATCCGCTGTAGGCTTTCTTTGCCTCATTCTTCATTGTATCTACAGGCTTCTTACTTTCCATGTATGGACCCGTCTCAATATATTCAGTGACTTTCTTGATATAGTCAGATTTATCCAAAACTACTGTAGAGTTCCCTTTATCAGCTTTTGTGACGACGATGTTGTCGTCCTGTTTTAGACTAATTTGAGCTAGTATTTCCAATTTCGTTAAGTTTGATTTCGCTTTCTTTTGATTTTTCAGGGTCAACGCACATTGTGCTCAAACCTCTTCTGCTGTTGTCATATTTATTGAACTTAGTGCTACTTCTATGTTAGGAATGATATCCTCTGGTTTTAATTTACCGACTGCTACGTTGAAATTTAGTCCTTTTTCAAGTACTTTTATCTCACTAGAGCTTATTTCTCTTGAAGAGAGAGGTTGATTACCCACTTTGTTTTGTCAGTAGAAGATGAAATATTGTTGTCAACTTCTTCGTTTATTGTGTCGTTCTTTTTTTCTAATAATTTGTTGAATTTCTTAATTTGCGTTATTTTTGATTTCTTTAAGGTGACTTCTCTAGCTTAATTTGATGTTTCAATCAAAATTTCATAATCATTATCATTTACCATGCATTTGAGTTTGTGTTTGAGCTTTTCAATTTCATTTCATACATTCTTTAGCTTTATAATAGCAATATAGGGCTACCGCTAGCCAATACCATGGAAGAGTATACCATAGTCCACCTGACTTGGCGGACTTCTTACTAGAACTTCAAAATATTCGTCTGATAGTTATTAGTGAGCTGGACAATTGGTGTACGCCTCCAGTAGCTGAATTTCAAAAAGCCTCTCTCCAAATGATATACGTTTACGTTGGTACTACTTAATAATCAAGTAATTTTGTTTCGTATTATTTGTATATGTTCTCTGATTACATTTTATACATATTTTTGTCTATAGTATACAATTACGTACATATACAAAATATGGTTATACAACATCGAAAGTAATTCATGGGCATACCCTGTCGAACAGTAAGTTGTTTTATGTTTTTTATCTGCTATGTAGTATTTATTAAATTGCTCACAAAATATGTAGGAAATGGAGGTGGGTGGGCTAAAACATACGCTGAGAATACTGTTGAGTAAAATCACGTGTCAGTCAGGCACTTGAATGTTATCCAAAAGGAGAACGGTGAGTTAGGCGTTAGTCTAAAGGTGACATGAAGGACATTATGCAAGGGGGAAATACAAAGTTGTGAGCGACCTTGTAGCCAGCCAAGAAAGATAGCAGCGAAGATCGTACAGTGAAGATGCCCCGCTAAAGCCTCAAATTTCACTCATATGCAAGAAAATAATGATAATTAAATTTGAAGTGGTCAGGCATGTCAACAGACAGAATGTAAAAATGGTGAACAGAGAGGATATGTTGGAGATGTAACCAATTGACTTAAGCATTCGAATTCCAGCCAGTGGGTGGCGGGTCCGAATCCTTTTCCAACCCTTGCAGTCAGCTTGAGCAACAGCAGGATAATATAATCAGCCCTGGCACATAAAAAATCTATTCCGAGTAATTAAGTTCTAAAATGTTCAAAATCTTAAAAGTTTTTAGGTCTATTCTTGATCATCTGATATCCATCAAATAAAAGTTGGTGATAACCATGAAATCTGTGAATAATTAGTGTCTTTAAGAGACGTTTACTGGGCATTTATACCATGAAGCCTAATAATATTTAAATTTCATTGCGTCGGTAAGACTTATACCAGTCTATTTATAACTCATTTAGCAGCTTTCTACAGCAATCACCTTGTTGGCTTTCTGTCTAAAATATCCCTGGCGGAATGGGATAATGACTTAAGGTGTAATCGTGCCTTACGAATGGAAAGGAATCTTATTATTCACTTAAAATTATTTTTTTACATAAACATATGTGGAATAATATGCAGCTCAGCATGCGTGTCGGTGGTTCAACGATAGGACACACCAAACACACCTCAAGTGGTCTTGGGTTCGATCCTCGGCAAGCGCATTCCTAAAACTCACTGAGTCCATAGTAATGCCGATAAAGAGGGAATGTTGGGCGTGAGGCTAGCAACACTATAACATATGAATAAAACCACTGCCACCGAAACTTTGCAGCTACATCCTGGAGTCCTATGTTCCACGCAGAATGTAAAGGAGTAAACGTTTAAAAAAATACACCATAGTATGGTGAAAACAAATAAATCATCTTTTGCTATGACTTATACTGACCAATAACTCTCATTTATAAGGAACTTGTTGATCGTACACAGAAGGTCTTTTACACAGCTTCCTTTAAATAGATTGTAGTTACCTCGTAGGAAATGTATTCTTTTGATGAAGGCTTATTATAATGAAATAGTTACTTACAAACTCTAAATAACTGTTTCTATTTGCGCCTTCATTTTAGAAATATCAACAAATGAATTTCTTTCACGAAATTTTCATAATTCTACGGTATTCTGCACGATAGTTCATACTACTGATTGATTACCATGAGCAGTTGCATACGACTTACACCAACCATGTAGTATTTACCAATTAGATCTAGGTGAGTCAAACATCAGATCACTGATCTCATCAGCGATGTACTTGGTTTGACTCAGGTCAACAGCTGAATCAGTTCAAATTACCAGAATTCTGGTTAACCATTTAGACAAACTGGGCATACATTGAATCAGATTTGAGGTCTGCAGATTAAGCGGGTAAAATGGCTGTTAGGTGTTTAATTGACGTTCTTTTGTCCGATAATCACTACCAGTTGATTTGAGAGTTATCCAACTACTCATATATTTAAGTCAATGGTATATACTGCCATGTGTGGATAGTAAATTATCAGTAGAAGAACCTTGGAAAGGACTTTAGGTGGCCAAAGGATTCTTACCAAAAGGACGCGTAGCTACTTTCTTATACTTTTTGATACATAGTATTATCAGTGTAATTATAATTACATTAATTATTATCATCTTACTGTGTTACCAGTAGAATATTGGGCTTAAGCAGCACATCACCATTTAACACTGTTCTCTGAAGTCTTTTTAAGCTGACTCAATGACTGACAACTAGCTTTCATTTCCTCCTCATATGATTTCCTCCATGTAAACCCGAATGATAGGCTGGTTGATCCTTTTTACTTTTCCTTTCACTCAAGTCTGGCGCGCTATGCTTCTTGGAGGTCTCTTAAGGGTGTGTTCAAAGCATCTTTTTTTCCTTTTACATACTTTTTGAGCAATAGATCCTTGATTCATTCGATCCCAGAGTTTCTTGCTGCTTACTCATTCTTCTTATCTAATCTTCAGTAGAGAGAAGGCAGTTTTTGATTAGTGTCTACCTGTTAGAAATAGTATATTATGCGTTGTCAAAAGAATTTCAGTAGAATCTCTATCTTCCAAGTTGACCACTTTTCACTTTGTATTGACTACAGTGATGCCCATCCAAACCCCATCTTTAAATACTATCATTTTTCAAGTGTTAGTTTGCATGGAATTTGCTGATTTCAAATCTGATCACTCACTGACTTCCGTTAAAGTACCATCTAAAACTATTGGGTTCCATCCCAGTGCTGAGCGTTCAGCGAATTCGCCTTCTAATCTGAAAGTCCTCGATTCATCCCGCGACGACTGGGATCACAACTGCCATTGATGAAGAGTCACGAATAAAGGTGCAACAGTTAATCACTACTCTCTTGTTTTTAGTGGTTTTCTAAGTGAAGTAAGTCCGTAATGAAAGTTTAAGTATTATTTGTACACAGAGCAAAAACGTTTTCATTACTTTTCAATGATCTATCATCCCTTTCAGTTATTATTAGTATTACTATTATTATCAGTTATTCTTTACTGAAGTTAAACATATTTGTTATATGTTCATTTGAAATCAGCAACAGTTATCGTCGTTACATGTTGTCTATTATGGTCATTATTTGTATTGGCTGTTTCGACATTTGGTTTCCTGCACTACCGTATATTTGAAGGTAAAAATAGTCTCTTCAATAGCAGCACCAGTAGTAGTATAAAACAAAACGAAGAAAATAATGATCCTAAGGAGGAGGATGCAAAAATAATGAAAGGTGTAAAACTTTCAGAAAAAATAATAGATAGGTTAGTCTATGGCGTTGATTTTTTCTGTTTTTTTCTTCTATTAATGCGTTAAACCTCTATTCATACTACGTTACACTGTTCGTGATGTCTAGAGTGATATCTGGCACATTAGACTCAAACGAGAATAATTTCTTTTCGGAGAATTCATTCGCTTAGCTGTACAATCGCAACTATATATGCTACTTATTTTTCTATGTGTGTGTACATTAGGTTTGTCCGATAAAAATAAAAGTAAGTTAGGGATATTGTTATCAAGACGTTTCAAAAATGTGACGAATAATCAAACTGTGACTAAGGGGTTGAGATGAAGACTGGCAAGAGGGAAGTGGTGTTGCGTTGTCAAAAAACATAGTTATTAATGTTAATCAACACATAAAAAGAACTTGAATAAGCGTAATACAGTTACGTAATAAGATGAATAATTCAATGAAAGAGTTATGATTAGAAGGCACATAGAAACAAAGGAAAGTACGGACTTACGTAAGAGTTCTAAAAATTACAAATATTATTAGGAGTTAGAAAAACATGGTCTCCATTGGGTTCATTACTAGCATACTGCTTCATGCCTAGTCTTGAAAACGGCCCACTCAAGTTGTCTATTAACAATTTGCAGCTGTGTAAATGATACGCAGATGACATCTTCGTCATTCGCAACAATGGTTACAACTAAAGTCAGTTGCTAAAAATATTCAACAACTGCCATCCGGCAATAAAACTCACCCTCTAAATGGAATGTGAATCCAAAATGCATGTCGCTGTGGAGCCAGTTCGACGTGTATCCTGTCCAAAAACGTTCAAGAACATCATCGCGCATGGTTACAAAAAGTTAATAGTGGCTGTAATGGAGTGCTATAATCAAGCATCTCGTCAACACCGGTAATTCCATCTCAACAAACGCCTCCTCAAAAGTAATATACACAGTGAAGAATAACCTACCAAAGGCAATACGCTTTCGTCTCCTTTATATTGCTGAAGCCTAAATCATCAAGTTGGAAAAACCAGGATTATGTAAACAAAAGAAAATCATCCACCACTGATAGACGATTTCACTTTATGCTGAAGATCAGATGGCCGATCAGGAAGAAAAAGCAACAAGAAATTCTGTCAAGCAAGCAACCAGTCAGCCTAGCCAGTATCTTGAAGGAAATGGTGATGAATTGAATACACGTCAAGGAAACCTTCAAATGACATTACACACCAAGAAGACCATCAAGTAGAACCCGAATATGAAGCCACAAACAGGGAGTGGGTGTAAATGTAGAAGTATTGTCAGCCGATCATATAAATAGAAAATGAAAGCTTATGGGCAGTCGCAGAGAAAAAAGTGCAATTGAGAAGTATTTCTGAAGCCTTATGTTTTACTTGGAATCTAAGGAACAAATAATTGAACAAAGCAAGAACTACAGTTTTAGCAGAATAAAGTAGTACCATCTTTTATTTCGTTGCCTTCTCGTCAACTGCTTACAGGCCAAAGACATTATTAAATATATCAACTATAAACTCATGAATTTGTACCATTACCTTTCATAATTCTTCTGACATTCAGTTTATTTTATGTTGATGCTGTTCAGCTGTAATTTATCAATATTATTGATTTGATGTTATTTAAACATTAATGTCGTTCATAAGACTAATTCATTCATTCATTACAATGTATATATAACTGTAGAACCTGATGATGAATTTATCGAAAAGAGTTCTCTTTATTCCGTGTCTATTCTTTTGAAAATTTTAACATACTTGTACAGGGTTCATTTTAAACAAAAATCAATCGATCAATATACGCATACACTAATATATATATATATATATATGCAATATTAAACACTATTCCGAACAATAATAATCATACACAATGGAAACTTTTCCGCATTTCGCATTTGGATGAAAGGGAGATGAAAAATATCCAGTTACCAGGGCAAAGAAGGACTGATAACCGCTTCTTTCTGGACGCATAAACCAGGTTTCAAGTGCTTGATGGAAATGGCTTCAGGAAACTTAAGGAGAATTGAGCTCTTTTGCCTATTGATAATTTTGAACGCCTTTCGACGACTGCGCTGTGCCATCGCCGGGCATCTCCTGGTCAGTGGCTTCATCCTGAATCAATTCATTTCATAAGAAATACACTATAGAATTGGGATGTGGGTAAGATTATGCAGCTGGACTAACTGTCGTGTCATGAACAATGAATTGTTATGATCCTAGATATGACGGCAAGGCGGCTGCATACCACTGTGCGCTTATATATACTAAGTTAATTCACTGTTCCGTATAGTATTTTCAACAATGTTTTAAAATTATTACTTTTTCTTCTCTTTCAGTGATCATACAGCAAATATATATTCATCAGTCAACTGGTGAGTAATATTCATTTACAGTTTCTTTTTTTTATTAAGTTGTTTTTATAATGGAGAGTTTTTAAATGCCTGTGAAATGGCCAAAGGTTAAAATACATGAGAAAACATTGAATACCCTCCCAGTGACTGCATGATAACATGTTGATCTCTTAGATTGAAGATTCTGAACTACATTGACTAGCTAAGTCTCAACATAGAACTTTATACAGTTCAGCTTGACACAAACCATGTAGGCAGAGAAAAAAGCGAAAAAAGAAGTACAGAAAAACTGTAGTGAGCAGAAATTTCTGGCAGAAGTAACAGTAACGTGTACAACATGGGGTATATGCATATGGGAGACTATAAAGAGTGAATGTATCAGCACCACTGAGATCGATTTGAATCATATCAACTGTAGTCTTCATCCATTGGTTCTTATCACCTAATGAGACAGTTTACAACTCCTTACGTGACTGACTGAAACCAACAGTAAAATACTTCGTGGACTGATGCCTGATTTTGGTGTAGCTACCCCCGAACTCTTTTCCAACCTAATCATATGTCAGCTAGAAGTCTGCTAACATTGTTTAACGTTCTCAAATTGGAATTCAACAACTTACCAGTCTGACATTTGGAAGAATTCAGTTTAAGACCACTAGATGAAGACCATTCGCTAAATTCTGATAGAAAGCTGTTCATCTTAGTAAAGTCTAGCTGGGAGTTAACATACACTGAAATAGTTAGATCGTCCGCATACTTAACAAAGTTCATTTCATCAGAATAAGGCAAGTCATGCAAGAAGAAAGAAAGCAGAAAATCAGAAAGAACAAAACGCCTTGAGGGACACCAGCCTCAGGAAGCAATGAAGTGGATGACTTTTCCTGACATACAGTGTACTGCTTTCTTCCTGAGAAATAAGAATGCAGCCAGTTAGCAAATCAACACTCAATGTGAGTAACAGCAAGCTTATTTAACAAAATATGTGTAAGTACTGAGTCAAAAGTAGATGGGTAATCTAGGAGGGCTCAGAGAACAAATTTAGACCCTTTGTCCATACTAGAGACGATATTGTGAAGCAAGACTGCAGCTGTACGTAAAGTACTACTGTTTGTAGGCAAAATAAAATGTAACTCCTACTACTTACTAGTAATCAGTAGTACAAAGTTAAATGCGAACGAAGCGGTAAGAAAGAATTGACACTGCCAACATATGAAAATTTTTATTCTATTGATTATGTATAATTTCTTGATTTCTAAGTATACTTACACTGCTTGTGACATTATACTGACGCCGCAAGACAGACACGACACTAAATTCAACCAATTTTGATAAAATCACACAATGTTATACAGTAATATTTACTGATGACAAGGTTTCGAGCACAATTTATTGCTACTCATGATCGTACCAAGGCAATATTAACAAAACTTTCTCGCTTCATTTATAAACATGAGTAAAAATCAATGATTAGATATTTGAATAAAAATCAATATTAGATGAAGTACATTCGGAAACAATATTAGTGTAATCAATCAAATAAATCAGATGGAAAATAAGATGTTTTACAGTAAACATAAGTAACTTGTTACTTGAAACGAATAACCAAGATGAATATCAATCTGTTTAGTCAATATTTTCAACAAATGTGTTACCATGCCATATCTTCCTGATTTTCATAACCTGAAGGGGAAAATGAGGAGATAGCGTTATGAAATATTCTCCTTTTATTGAAAATTTTAAATTATTTTAAACGTATATGAAAACTTTTTCTTTGTTCTCATAATGATAGGCCATCAGTAGTTAACACTAGTGAATTTAATTCACGTTATGAAAAATACTTAGAAGATTCATGTTCTGCACTGAAAGAAGAATATCAGGTAGGTGATTTGTATTCTGTCTTAATAATTTTGATGGACAATGTACAAAACGTTTTGTAATATCGTGTCGAAATTCATCAAAACTCTTACTTTAAGCTCTTGCTTAACCAAGGCTGACTTTGTCATCACGTTATTTGGAATCTTTTGAAAGGGAATTCAGTTAAAGTTTGACTTGGGGTTGATATCAGTTACATAACTATTCAAGAATGAGCAGTATTGGTTAGATGTTCCTTCCTAGCTAAGAACTTATCATGAGCACCCGCGCGGAGGGGTTCAAAACGGGGACCTACCAGCCACAGGGCAAGCTCATTAACCATCCAACCGTTGTGAGATGGTGTAGACGCCCACGAATTCTAACTTCTATCAATTCGTGATTTTAGCGCGACCACCAAACGACGTCATGGGCTAGTATTTGTCCTCAACCCCTACGTCTGGGGTTCTCACTGCAGTGTGCGTAGAGCCTATAAGTCACTAACTAGCACAAAACACCTGTCAGATACTCCCTGCTGGTTTTCAATGGCTCTCTAACTGATATCAATCCATGGTCAAACTAGAAACGAATCAAATTCCTACAAACTAACTCTTAAAAATTCATTTTCTAATAGTCAAGGGTTGAAGCGATTTTACTGGTTTCAAGTTAGATCGTGGACTGACAGCAGTTATCTCCTTGAAAACCAAGACTGAAAAATTAAGTTAATTGCTTATAAGTGACTGACTAAAAGGTGAACTTGCCTGGAGTTCCAGTGAGTTATCACAATCATTGAGGTCCTCCAAGTTGAACTAGAGAATTTTTGTAATGGTTTCGAGTGAAAACGCCATTGTTTGCATGCAGGGACCATTTACCATTTGCCATTTACTGTCATTTATGGAGTAATTGGTGGCTAACCTCATGGTATAATTAATTACCAAGGTAGATCCTTGCTCTTGATAAAACTTTGACTTAAGTCAAACAAAAAAATTTCCAAGATGTTTTCTTGTGATCAACAGTTTCTGAGCATATTGGGATCGTGGTCAAATAATAATAAAGTATTGGTCACTGTATACGATTCCACTTTATTTGTACATTCTGACTGGAAGCAAGGTGTAATAAGTGTTTAACGCATGGTTGTCTTCCAACAGTTGTAATCTCTGTTCGTGTTAAATTCTATCTGTTAGTGAAGATCTTCATTTCCTTTAGTCTAATCACCATAATCTACAAGACAAGTTAAGGCAGTTAAGCTTACTTTCTTAACACAACTTTATGCCTGTTTTTTTAATGTTCTTTTTATTTGTTTGTTTAATGCGTATAGCTGATTGTGAATATAAGCCAAAGTATGATTCTATCAGATATGCTTACCCAAGAAATTGGACGAAAAAATGTCAACAAAAAATTAAATCGTTTCATGGATATTCTACCATGTAAGTGAACATATACTGAATAATTGTCTTTTTAAATTTAAACAACTTATACGTATACCGATACTGTGTAATAGAAAAATGTTCAGATGTTTAAGTACTTTTTAACCTTAATGCATAATATCACAGAACAATCCGAACACTACATCCGTTTACCTGTCAAACAGTGAACTTGACTCACTGATTGATCGGCTGACTGACTGAATGACGAATCGACGCAGGCCTCTAAGGCTGTATATACGAAGAAGTGCCAGAACATGTGCCAATTACTTTACTGTTCGGCTACTAAATTGACTTCCAAAGTCCAGTGTTATTATTGTTATTTCCTTAGGTCCTGAGTGCAATATAGCTCTTCAGCACCACATCTTCACACTTTGTCCTCTTCTCTGCAGTTCTTTTCAGATGGTCCCACGATTGTCCATAGTCTCTCATCTCCTCCTTATATGGTCTTTTCCATTTCACCCCTGGATGGCCGATTCATATTTTTCCATTCACGTTCCATTCGATGGCCCGATGCACGATATCACTGAACTGTCTCCTGTGTGTGTGTTTGATCCATCTCCATTTTCTATCTCATATTTATTGAGCAATAGTTTCCTGACTGGTTTGTTTCCCGAGTTTCTTGCTGCTAATTCTTTCTGGCCATTTGATTTTTAGTATAAAGTGAAGGAAGTTGCTGATAAAAGACTGCAGTAGCCTGTTAGAAATGCTTTTAGTGACACGCCAAGTTTCTGACTAATATGGCAAAGCTGACTTAACACTGGTGTTAAAATCCAACTCTTTTTCTTTGTGCTGATTGTAGAAGATTTCCAAACTGATTTCAGACTGACGAAGGTTTACCCTGCCTTACCGATTCTCATTCTGACATCTTCATCCGTTCAGCTTGTGGCTGAAAAGATGCTTCCTAAATAAGTGAAGGAAGTAAACCCCCTTCAAATTTCTCCCGTTGATAGTGATTGCTGCTGTGAGTATTCACTTTCATGCATGCTTTCTGATTGTGAATTCATGAAATCTACCTGAAAGCTAGTCAGTATTGACTACTTGATACATACATAAATATTAGGTTAATAAGGAGTTTGATTTCAACTGATATCTTGACGGTATCCAATAATGAAGTGTTGAATGCATTTAACCGTTATAAAATAATCTTTTTTCATTGAAACTTAAATTGTCATAACAAAAGTCAGGCTCTGTAAATAGTTGACTTTCAAGAACCCTTCAGATTTAGGGAACACCACGAAAAAGGTCATTCCAAATCAAATAATACCTACCTTTATGAATTTGATGAGAGGAAGTACAGTTGTAACAACAGAAGACAAGGGCCAGGCAACAGATCGTTTATTAAGGAAATCAACACATATTTATATATTTTCATGTACATTATTATAGTTTAGTTAAGCGAACAAACACAGTCTTCCGATTGGTTGTTTCTCACTTAAAGCTGATCTTTCATCTCTTTGTGACTGTTTCTTGAATGTCAGACCATCTATATGTTAACTGTATCCGCCTACGCTAAGTCTGCTGTGGTTGGCTGTTGAATCAGTCTTTGTTCATATTTTCTCACGACAAATCTTGAGAACGTAAACATTGACGTAAATTACTGTCTACCAATTTGGCTAGTAGACAGCTCTCACCACACAGTGATCTATTTATTCACTGGGTAATTTTTTCTTTAAATCTATACAGTTAGGTAAGATTAGGACTAGGGATTTTAGGGTTAAGCTTAAGGTTAAGATTTAGGACTTAAGGTTACAAGGAGTTCAAACAACATTGTCAGGAATATCAATGGATTTCACCTTTATGAATACATCTATCGCTCATGGTATGATTTCTCTACAGATTATCCTTGAAGTAACCGTAATACATTCTTATGACACATAAGTGACAGTTATCCCGTGTATTATCATTTTAACAGTGTTTATTGATACATTTCTTAAGAATTATGCTAGTTTTTCGCATTTGAATTCTGATTGGTTGTTCAAGGCCACTGAGATTTTGACTATCGTAGTTTAACTTTGACCTTTCTTCTCTTATAAATTCAATTTATTCCTAATTGCATTTTTCTTCAATAGATGATCAGACAAGAGTGAAACTGAATCCTTTTGATAAATGTAAACAGGTTAGTGAGACAGTCTAATTTTTCACCGCAATATTTATTTTTAAAAATATGACTGACTGAGCTTCGACATAGAAATTTACAGAGAAGTACAATATTTCAAGTTGCCAAAATGCACACAAAGGTGGAGAAAAAGGAGAGGAGAAGAAATTCAAAAGGATTTTTATAAGCAGATTTGTACATAAGAAAGAATAATCACATGGAAACATGTGAGGGTTTTATAAACCTGAAAGATTAAAAAGAGTGAATGTATCTGAGTCATTGAGAACGTCTTTGAGCTTCATCGCCAATGCTCTCAAGCTTCCTACCTTCCTACCTTCTTTGCAAACGCTAATAAATGGATTCGAGTCTCAGTATGGATGTCATCACTCTCTAGTGCATTATCTCTGTATAATTCCTCTCAATTTACTTGTATAATAATCATATTTACGACAGATTTCTTCCTCTCAGAGAACTAAAGTTTGTTGTGTACAGCAGGTGTCCCAACTACTTTAGCTATCAATAAATTTACTTTTTCTGTCTAAACGTCCATAGATAAAGTGTTACACACAAGAACTGTATAACAAAGACATATGCCTTCTTGTTATACTTACAGGGACTGGATTGTAGGGGCATAACAAATATATTTTTTTTTAAAGGCTAAATAGATTTAGTTACAATAGCATTTCTGAACTGACATTAAGTGGTTAAGGGAAACCGGCAGCGAATCTTTGACCTAGGTTTCGTGCCTGTTGGCGATCGTCAGCAAGGCGCATCTGCAACCTTGGAAGAACTCTTATCCCTTTTGAGATTCTAACCCACATCACCCAGTGCTGCAGTCAGAGACGCCGTTCGGGCTCGCAACTGATCTACTGCAGGACTGTATTGGATACTTTGATTGGACACTAGTTAATAACTAATATAATGTATCTAGTCATTTGTTTGATGCAGTCTGAATTCTATCGGCCAAGTTTGAAATGTGGTCACCAAGTTAGATGACGTGACATTATTGTGCGCTCTGAACTGATATTAGTTAGTCAGAGATGATTAGCGGGAAGTCCTGGATTTAATATTTCACTTTTTAACTGACAGGGTTAGTAAGACATGTATCTAAAGTATTCGCATATTGTTATGGTGTCGTCGCCAATATTATGGCGTGGCGGAGTGTAAATATGCGCTGATGAGATATAACGGACGATAACGTACAGACTGGTATTGCTGAGTAGTTAATTTGTCCTGACGCGAAGAGGAAAATCAGAAGACCCCCACGTTCACGAAGATACATGTATTTTCCAACAAGGAAAATTAACAATCACAAAAATTGTGAGTGAAAAAGTACGGAAGAGTGAATTAACTGTATAATACAAGAGAATATAGAAAATAACTAACACACACGAACCAATTAGACAGATAGTAGTTTTTCTTACCACCACTGGATTCTGATTGGTTGCAATGTCATGTGACAAAGGTCATACATTGTTTATTTAGTTAATGAACAGACAAGTTATAATGGAATAACGATCAATATACAGCAGAAGTTAGAATTCAAGGACCATTGGATCAGGTCCCAGTGGCTCAATGGTCTACGAGCTCGCCTTGTGACCAGAAGGTCCTGGGTTCGAATCCCGGTGGGCGCGTACTGCTGAAGAGTCCCAAACTAGGACGAAACAGCTGTCCAGTACTCCCAGATTTTCCAGTGGTTCTCTAACTGATGTCAGCTCATGATGAAATCCTCCATGCAATCAATATACATATAGCAAAATATGTCATAGTGGGTGACGCGGTTTCAAATCTCAGAAGGGACATGAGTTCCTTCAAGGTTGCAGATACGCCTTGCTGACGAGTGCCAACTAGCACGAAACCTAGGTCCAAGGCTTCCTTCCGATTGCCTCCAACCAGCTAATATCATCAAATCAATGTGCACCGTGATGGCGAGCTACCTAGAATGGTGACCACATTGCAAATCTGACTGGTAGAATTCAGTCTGCACCAAAGAAAGTACTAGACACGTCACACTAGTTACTAGTGTCCAATCAAAATATATCAGACTGGCAAAACAAAGCAGACATCATGTGACTACACATCACATATACAAAAGCATAATTTTATCCGAATTCCTAAATCACTAATAATCTCATGTGTTTCCATAGTCTAGTAAAACATTCTTATACCGACTACCAGACATTTTTTAGATCCTACTTATAGTGAATTATACTCCTTTAGACTGCAACTGCAAATTTTCAATTTACACAGTTCCAGGCCATATTTCACTACAGTTTCCTTTGGAAACTAAAGCTATCCACACCGCAGTGCATATCATCTGCTTGATATTATAAACGGTAAACAAGGAAGCAAGCATAGATGCATGGAGCTGTATACTACTGATTAACTGATTGAGATAATTAGTTAAACATCGGTCTCATCTGCAGTCAGTTGTCCTGGTTAGTTAGATCGAAGTGATCTGGACACTGTTAGACGACCGTTAGGGGCTCAGCACCCGGCTTCCTGTAAGTAGTATCCGACTATTTATACCATTAAATCAGTAGTATATGACGTCATGTGCTTCACTCCTTGGCGTTACTGTGGCTATACAAATGGATGGTTCGGTTGTACAGCTTTTATTGTCCTACTGGATCACGTCTTCCACGCTAAATACACTGTCCTAAAGGATACTGAAAGCTTTACGATTATTTAACCGTCTAATAACACCAAAATGCATTTATTCGTCCATCTAAGTTCCAAAATCTTCTCAATTATTTCAAAATAATTTGACTTAATTATTCGATTTCCCCTTTGTTGTTATTATTGTTCTTCCCCGACAGGATCATGATTATGTTAATGCAAGTTTTATTTATGAAATTATCCCGTGTAGTAACGCTACAACACATCCAGTATTAAACAGAAATAAAATTGACTATATAGCATCACAAGCACCACTAGAATCAACTGTTGGAGATTTTTGGAGAATGATTATAGAACAAAATGTTACTATTATCGTTATGTTGACGAGGTGAGTAATTTAATTTCAAACGCAACTGTAAATATTGTTGAATACTGTTGTGTTCCCTGTTGACTGACTATAATGAACCAAAATGTTCAGCTTTTGTTGACATGTCAATTCCGTAATACGGATGCTTTGAAAGTTTCTGAGAACATGTAACTAGTGTTGAGATTAAAAATGTGTATTTCACCCCGTTAGGGTCACGTCATCGGGATGTACTTGTATTCCGAATAAGTGGCTTTGTTCCTAATGAGGCTTGAACCCCGCGACTGTCCTTTCAAACTCTGTGGCGTTACTCACTAGACCACATGAGCTTCGAGTTACTGCCTACCGAATAACAACATCTTCAAAGCGTTCATATTAGGAGCCAACATGTCAACAGAGACTTAGTCTATCGGTGCAATATAAATCAATCAAAGGGAAATACAAATTAACTCAAACAAACAATAACTGATATGCATTACATAAGAGGTAACTGTTTTGGCCTTTGTGACCTAGTGGATAATGCCACGGAGTTTGAAACAGTGGGTACTGGGTCCTAGTCTTAGCAGGAATACCACCAGTTATTCACTGGGAATTCAAGTACATTCAGAAATGAACTAGTCACAAATATAGCAGAATAAGCATTCTGAATCCTCATCGCTAGTCACCATCCATAAAATAACAGAAGGAGGTTTTGTTAACAAACTGCTATATGTCTAAAATAAGCAACAACTTTGAGAAAAAGCAGAATTTAATGAATTCATAAGTTTAGGTAGGACTCGTCAGTTAAATACTCTACAAACATGGATATTCATGTAATTTCCTTTTAAAGTTAAATACAATACAAACAAATAAGCATTGTTACAACAAATAAGGATCGATTTCAATAAATATTTGATATATGAGTGAACTGTGACGTTGAAATGAAAGCCCTATAGTTATTAATAAGCAAGGTAATAAAAAAGCTCTTGATTTTGCTGAAGCCTGTACAGTCAGCCGAATTTATGCATACAAAAGTACACCGTAGTTAGCTCAAATCTACCTTTCTTAGCATACATACTATTTATTTTACCTTTATAATTCTCTTTTCCTTCCCTCTCCTATTTACAGTGTTGTTTTTTTTTTGGATTATTATTAAGTTATATTTAACCTTAAAAATACTGTACAAATAACAATGTTTGTAGAGAGTATTCAGCTGACGAGTCCTACTTGAATTTACGAATTCATTAAATACTGATATTTTGTTCACATTTGCTGCTTGTTTTAAATGTACTACGGGAAATAAAAGTTTTCAATGCTATCTGTCCATTCTCTTAGATATTTTGATCATGATAGACTGATAAAACAATGCAAAGTAACTGATTATACACAGATACTTACAAGAAGTTTCAATATTAACTACAGTCTGACTGCTTCGTCAGTGAGTGTGTTAGTGTATTTTGAATTTGACTATAAAATATCATACGTTAGTATGCAATTACGATGTAGTCTTCTAGTAATCACTCAGTACCTCTCCTTCTATTGTTTAAATAAAAAGTTGGTCAGTACTTTGGATACAAATTAAATAAACATCAATGTGAAAAAACCCTATTTGTTTAAAGGAAAGTAACACATCATGCGTTGATTGCTCATTGGTGGAATCTTCACTAACTACGCACCTGGCCCGAGCTCAATTCCCGACCAACTCACCCCTAAACCTCGCCTAATAAACTAGTTGTACTAGCAAGCCCAGAAAAAATGGGAGATTGGGCGAAACAAATCAGTAACATTACCACTACTGATAATTCAAAATCCCGAAACCCTATGTTCTACTCGGAACTCAAAGGAATGAAAAATATATGGCCTTGAAGTTAAAGCAAGTCGCCTGATCATCTTCATGTGCATACAACAACCTCAATTCATCAAATCAACGAGTCGTTTGTCTGTCTCAACAGATAGCTCAGACAAACCAATTATAATAAGAGTGATATGACTCGCCAAGTACAAATACAATAATTCGGCCAACAATGCGACTATGATCCCTTATAAGATATTTGACGTCGAAATTAAAAGCAATCAGTTTTAACATACAATTTTTTAAATCATGTATTCTGCCCATTCTCCTTTATTGTTCACCATTATTCTTCCCTGAACTTCTAAAAAAAGACTGTATCCTATTAAGTAGAGCACTGAAGACTGTAAGCAGAGTTGTAGTAGCAGAAGTGATCAAACCTTTATTTATGTATATATAGTTTATATTCTTTAACCAATCACTGAGCGTGTGATTTTGGTTTAAATTAAACGACATGAAATAGAATGTTCATATATACATAATATTCTGTCGCTAAGGCAGTATTGAACTGTGGGAATATGTAAGAATCATATTCCGCTGGAACACATTATCTGTATCATGCCACCACAGGGTCAGTGGGATGCCTTTGACTCAGCTAACTGACAATATTGTCAATAGGCTCTCGAATACTTGCAAGCAACTGGTTTAAGTTATCTTGTCTGATACTTAATATCCGCTTTATTCTCAACTTTCTTCTTGTATCTCTTCGAGTAAAACCAGAAGAAACTTCATAAGAATTTATAGTCGTACAACTAAATATAAAAATTCCACCATACCATTCGGGTTTTGTGTAAAGAGTCAAATGACAGAAAAGAACTTATAAACTTGTTAAATCAGTAATCTGAATTGCAAAGTATAAGCAAAGATTATTATTACTTGTATTATCTATGATACCAAATACCGATACTTCACTATGTTCCCACCAACATTCTGCTTACAGTGGTTTCATTATTAATATTATTACTGCTAGTTTAAATTTTATGTATGCACATATTTATAAAAGGAGCTAAATTGCTGCAACAACTGTAAAAACGCTGAAAATTCCATTCCGTAAAATTATTACTTTTTGGAACAAAGTGACTATTATTATTATTACTATGAAAAAAATACAAATATATGCCACTGAATAAACAGTCGGAATGAAAGTTAGTTAGCGAAAGAATGTTATAAATATCTGTATGAGATCACCTCATTTCATCTCCTAAATCTAATATTGAAGTTATAGACGAACACAATAGAAACGCCTCCTATTTACGAGTTTTCACAAATCAAGCAAACCTCGTGTCCCCTAAAAATGCATATGATTATGTCAAGCTTCGACATTTGTTTCATTTCAAAGAGTTTAATACATCCCCAATATTGTTGTCAAATTTTAAGAAAAATCTGAAAACCTACGTAGGGATCTCAAGACATCTGTCATCATGAAGAACATTCAAATCGACAAAAACTCAGAAAAATCTCTAAAGGTGAATGGATCCCACTAATCTGATTAGACAAAATAACTAGGTCTACAAACTATCTTACAATGTATGACCTCGAAGTCAGTCTAACAGACATAAATTAAGTTGTCAAAATATTTAGGAAATCATTCCACTGTAGAATGATTAACTCGAAAAGGATCACCAACTGGGGAGAAAACACAGGAAGTTCAATACGCATAATAGAATATAACCAAATAACAGGGTAAGGCGAAGCTACTCTTTTAAAAGTTAATACAATTAAGCAAAAGGAGAGGTGGATCACCGACTCTTTGCTCATCGAATCGGCACATCAAACACTTGCAATATCAACTAATGCAACACCAACTTTGGAAATTGTCGAAAATATGATTGCCGATAAATTTAAAGGATAGTAAATAAGATGACTATTTGGACAAAATCTGGAAACTCATGTGAGTTCCTTGACACAGTGATGAGCAATAAACTGTGCCCGAAACATTATCAATGCATGAATAATACTGTATCACTGAGAGCTATATCAAATCAGTGTTCTATCCTGAAAATATACTCTATTTTTATATTGTTTGCTGGTTTTCCAGTGTTGGGTTCTGTTGGGTGTAGCATTAATTTAGATTTCGTCACGAGTCGACATCATTCATTGAATCATTAAAGACCATGAAACCCTGAATAGCCCCAAAGTGGAACGAAATATCTACCCAGTGCATCCCCCACCTTTGGTTTTCAGTAGTTCTCTAAATGATATCATTTCTTGAGGAAGTTTACATTTGTCTGTTTGCTGTTTTCTACTTAAAACCTAAGTGTGTGAATGTATGCGTGCTTTTCTACAGGTTATATGAAGATGATATATCAAAGTGTTATCAGTACTGGCCAAATGATATACACGAGTCAATAATATTTCTATCTGACTCTTTAAGCATAGAAGTAACTCTTCTATCAGAAGAAAATCATGAAGCCTATATACTACGTAAATTCTACGTGACTTCTGTAAGTCTTTGAGTTCTGGCGTTTTTGTTGCTTTTGTCGTAAAATTGATTCGTTTTTTAAACTAATGCATAACTTTTCATGCTTGCCAACTATACTGCTTTTAGTCCTGGTCCTACTCCTGACCAGTGCAACACTATTAAACCTTGTCTAGTTTACTAACCAATAGTAAGCTCAGAAAAAATGGAAGGTTGGGTGTGATGTTAGCAACTACACCCTGTAAACCCCATCATCACAACTAGTGAAACTTCACAGCTGCAAACCTGAAACCCTATGTCTCACTCTGAACTCACAGAATGAATAACTGTTTGCATGAGTTCAACTTGAGATACTAATTTAGCTTACTTTTAAAAATGAAAAATGATTCCAAGGTTATGTCTACAGAAACTTAGCACTCACGCTAGTCTGTAATTAACAAAGCACTGCGGTACAGACCGAATCTATCACCTAATGGGAACTTCTAAAAGTTAGTAGAAGTCAGATGATATGTTGACCGGACTAATACAGCGTTCGACCATATCCTCGATCATTACAACATCCATACACACTATTTACACAAAACAGTCTGGCAGCTTACTTCTTTATAGAGGTTCTCTGCTAAGAGAAATGGCTTCATGAATAAAGAAATGGTGCACAGTCTTTCCGAAAACTCCACAACTGACAAAATCAAATGCTACATATGGGCGTGAAAGAACAGAGAACCAAGTGGTTCACTTCAAAACGCATTAAAAATATGGAACATGAATTCACGTGTTGTCTATTTTATAAAAGCGTGTTTTTCTGTGGTTACGTAACCTATTACTTTTTATACTTTTTCTAGTTGAACTTTATTTCTACCCACAAAGCATCTGTTGAACTCTGCCTTTTTGTTTCCAAGCTTAGTCGTGAAATTCTTCTATAAAAAGTCGATTCTTTTCACTCATAATTATTCAACCGCTAACATCATTCCTGACCAATGTTACTCTCAGTTCTAATCAATCACCCATTATCATTGTAAAAAAGTGTGTTTAGATCTCTAATTTAATTTGTCATTTTAGTATTATTCAGGTTGTGACCAGTTGAGAAGAATCCACGAAATAATAAAAATGAAAACATGAGCTCAGATTATCCTGGTACATTTGTCATTCCTGCTCTATTCGAGTTGTGATTCGACTATATGGTAGACCTAATCTTCCTTTATGTGCATATTGATTTACAAACAGATTTTTCTGTTACTAAATTCTCTTATCTTCTGCCGTTACACTATCACTGTCTTCAAATCAGGTACACTCAGGTGACGACTTCGAAACAGGACGAATTGCGTTTCCTAGATCGTGCCACTAACCAATATCAAACAAATGGAATCTGTTAACTATATTCATGATTTTGAAAGTTGAAATATTTGTTTGAATCCTGCCAATACCTAACTTTTATGACAGTTACAGCTATAATACTTCCACCTATATATCTGTCTGTTTAATCAAAGCTATGAAGTATGATCTAATCAGTAGTCTGACAGGTACCCACTCCTACTTATATCTCAGTACAGTTTCATTTGAGACAGAAATAGGTGAATAAGGAAGTGTGGATGATGACCAAACGGCCAAGAACGTCTCTTACGACCGAAACCCAGTAATATTCTGAACGCAGGAAACAGATCTCCGTGTTCTATTTATAGCTGACAAAACTTCCTTGAGAGACGCACAGTCAAAAAATGCTACAAAGAAAGCGAAAAGACGGTTGTTCGTGGATAAATATTTGGATCTATTTAAAAATTATAACATCAAAAACTCAAAATCACCTCAGCATTAGCGTTAGTTAGTCAAGAGAACGTTCTAAGGACGAAACAAGTACTGTAGAGCAAAATTAGTTAACCAAAAATCAATCGTAAGAAGTACTTCAGAATCAAGTAGAATATTCCCAACAACGTTGGATCAAAAACTCTGTCCACAAAAATCACACACTAACAATTCCCTCAGACAGTCCAAGGTCAGGATGACCATCATTCACTTGAACTAGATCACTTCACTGAACAGCACATTATCAATGTACACACAACCACAAAGAGAAGCAATAAAATTAGAGACTAAACAGTGACACAGAAAAGTAATAAGGATCAAATCGACAATATGATATACAAATGTCAGAACAATGATATACAGTCTAGGAGAAAAAAGGATCGTAATTAATGACACAGTTATTTGGAGTGTCTAAATAAGTGGCAATATCGTGAATAGGTCGTTCAGAAGGGAGTTGCAAAACAGTCACTCCTTTACAACATCTGTCAGCTACTGATCACTAACAAATTCTCATAGATTAGTCAGTAAAAAATTTAAATTCATAATCAAGAAGTAACGACTTCTTATCTAACTAATTTCATTTTTTTTACGCAATCCAACTTTTTTTATTAAATTATTTCTATCATATATTTTTATTAGTCAAAAAATCAAGAAAATGGAAAATATGTAGTGCAAATGCATATGATAAGTTGGCCAGATTTTGGTGTACCTAAACTAAATGAATTTCAAATCCTTATTAAAGACTATAGAGAAATGAAATGTGAAGAGTTGCATAAATTCACTCCAACACTTGTACACTGCACGTAAGTACCATTTTCTTGTAATGCCAAATATCCAATGATTGCCAACCCTCTCCCCCCATGGATTTTCTTCTTTTCTTCCTCTAGTGAAGTTGTAGGAATGAGTATAGCTCGTGGAGCAGCTTCACCTGTAAAACTGGAAAGAGCCATGCACTAACCAACCAAATGACATGATAGAATAGACGGGATAGAAGTTGACCATCTAAATCGTTAACTTGGGAGTCAGTACTACACTCTTATCTTGCAGATGGTAACCATGAGAACACCAAGGCAGTCGCTATCATGTTGCTGCCAACAGAATTTAAAGGGCTCGTTCTGTAGTATACAACCCCCTCCAGAATCATGATGGCAAAATTAAATTCGAAAGGTAGGAACTTTGCTGCCAAGATCCTATCACCCAACAAATGTCCAGAAGCAAATGAAGGACGTACATTGAGGAGACCTTCGAGTTGAACCTGAATGAGAAACGACAAACTGCACTCCCAAGAGAGACATGGAGGAGATTGTATGAAGAGGAAGTGAAATCATGTAAGTAATCACGGAGCCAGCTGAGAAAATTGCAGGAGACAGGGTGAAATGGTTATGTGCCCCTGGAGCTCTACGTTCCAACTGGGATCCAAGTGAACGGTAATAATGATAAGTTCGGAAGATCACGGGGGGTTTAATGCACTTGATCCACCCAGAACAATCTTAAACCATTTCACTAACCGTCTCCAACCATTGTTTCTCGGTCTCTCAATGACCCAAGAGAGGCAGTCAGCTACACCCTACTTAATGAAACTTACAGTCAAAAACTTCATGAACTAATTGCGTTGTTGTTGTCCAACCCTCCCCCAACTCTTTCACAACCCCGTCAAATGTCAGCTAACATTGTAACAATAAGACTGAAGTTAATATATTTTCTGGTCAATGAATTTTCTAGCGAGACTATCACTCCCCTTATTTACGATGAGTAGGGAATCCTACTGGTTATTTAATAATTTTGAAACTGGCAGACTAATATTTCGTAACAGTTATTTCACGGATTGCTACAAATGTATTCATTACCTTCGGAGTTCTGCATCAAGTTAGTTGCTCTGTTAACCAGACTATGAGCCACACTTGATGTTTTCACGACTTGTATTACCGCTCACTCATTTACTTAGGCTGAAAAACAAACGGTGAAATCTGAACCCACGATTGACTAGCTATAAAGTCAAGTTCTGAAGCCAGCGTGATCTACATGCATAAACAAAGGTTCATTGGACAATAGTTTTGTACCAGTTAGAGAATACTTTCTGCAGCACACAGTCACACCACCAACAGATATATGACGGCTGTTACAGCATATAACAAACATTTTTCCATTGTTGAGCTAAGTTAGATCTCAGCAGTCTGTTACATCTTATCAAGGAATAGAGGTCCTAAGGTTCGAGATGGTAGACATTATTGTTTACATTTTCATACTATAATGTCGAGAAATTCGTTTGATTCCGGTTATTAATGGTCGACAGATCAATGATAGACTTGGTAGGCATTGATTATTTCTAATACTACATCATGGGACACAACCAACTAATGAACTATCAAAAACTATGAGGCACTGGACAACAAAATAGCTACCCTATATCTCATTTAATAAACTGATATGACCGATACTCTAATAATAATCCTGCGATTTCGGTACGATACGAAGATGCAAAAGGGACTCAACTGAAGATTTAGTGCCTCCCCTGAGCCCGTAAGAGAAAGTCAGAAGACAGACTACTCGCAGACGGTGAGAAAAATTGACAATATAAATATCTTGCTAATTTGCAGAATGTTAAGCTGGTAAGTAACTAATTTGCTTAGTGGTACAAAGTTGGTTGACTAATCAGTTTGCTTAAAACTTGTTTTGTATTTCCCGTTGTTTGATTATATTTGACCAAAACTGCTGCTAGTACGGATGCTTCGACAATATCTGAGGGTAAACACGTTATTTGGTGAACGCTGACTAGAGGTAGAATCTAAGATGCGCTATTCGCCCTATGACTGACTCATCAACTGGAAGTACCTGCATCCCTCCTGAGTGATGTTGTCCTCAATGAGACTCAAACCCTACTCTCATCGTTTCAAAGAAGGATCCCATTGCTAGTCACCACCTTCCAAAAATAACTTCATGTTGATCTCCAAAATTGGCCAAATTACATGTACTAGGGGTAGATATATTAGCAGAGACTGAGCATTTCAGTACAACATAATCAATCCACGGGAAGTGCAAAATTAATCTGGAAGTAAATAATAATTGACACCAGCTGCACAAGTAGAGGCTTTTGTGGCCTAGTGGGTAATCCTCCGGAGTTTGGAAAGATCAGTGCAGAGTTCCACTCTTAGTAGGAACACCATCAGGCACCAGAAATATAGGTGCACTCAGCTGATAAGTCACAAATAGGGCGAAATGCGCATCCCGGATTCTACTGCTAGTTACCACCAGCCAGATATTGCTTAAAGCCTAATATTCACAGCAGCCAATGGTTTCAGCTGGTCTCAGACTTCTCTGGCTTAGACTGCAAAAAATTCGGTTTTATAATATAAACAATATCATACCACTGTGTATGTGTGCATTAAAATCAACAAACTTCTCTGATACAGAATAGTTTTTGCTTCTGTATATATGTATGCGTTTATATTTACTCTTATAACAATTATTTATCTCTCCATTACCTTCACACCGTTATCGGCACCCGCCCCTTTTACTAACTGTAAAATAGAGCTGGTGTTGGAAGAACAGGAACATTTATCGTTGCAGACCTGTTGCAGAAATACAAAGAATCCAATTGTATTTATTATGATATACCTGGTATTATATTACAAATGAGACGATGTCGTACATTAATGGTACAAAAGGTTGTAAGTTATAGATTGTCTTCGTTACTCTCTGTTTTGAAATATATTTATAACTTACACATTTATTCTATTGTGTAAAACAGCGAGAGGGATAAACATTACCATGCTGAGGTGAATGTATATAACACATTAAATCCCTTTTGAAGCTTTTACAGAACCATAAATTTTTTCAGTGACGCCAAGTAATTTGCTTATAAATATCATAAAATTGCTGTCGATGCTGTCACTGAACTGCACCATAGAATTGTTTCCAGTCTAGATAAAGATGCCAAGTCTGTTCGATTCTCCTTTTTAGAGTGCATTTCTGCTTTTGATCCTATTCCTTAGAACTTTTGCTAAGCAATCTGAATTCAGCTAGCACTTGGCCCCAGATCACAAGGTGTTTATCTTCCTATTTTTGAGGCAGAAAACAACACACTGTTTTTAACGGAAAGTGCTCCATCTCTTTGCTTACGGAAGCTGATGTGCCTGAAAGTGATGTAATTGCTAAATTTTTTTTCTTTCTTTTTGCATGACTAGATGTAATCTTTTGTATCTGATTTCATTAAATAATGCTGATTATCTGATCATGTTTGCCTCAGTTGCTTCTGAATTAGATTGTCCTAATATTAATGGTTTCCCACCTGAGGTTAACCAGTGTTCTTATTCAAACAATTTTAAACCAAAGCCCTCATAGTCTCATAATTTAGTCTTAGTTTCAGGAATGAACCGGACTTGTGTGCACTCATTCAGCCGCATGATTCCTGTAATAGAGATGGCACTTGAGTAAAACAATTTTACCTGCCTGGGTATCAGTTTGTGTTCTAATCTTTCTTAGTTGTTGGATTTTTGGAAATAAGGAGTGTATTTTTCGATTGATTCTGTTAAGGCGGTGTTCATGTTCAGCTCATTGCGAGCCGTGCATGAATGAATGCATGTAACATGACAGCCTTCCAGATTTGGTATGTGCTTAAATGCATACCTTTAACTTAACCAGCATCCGGTGTTGAAGGATAATGCAACTAACTATAGACTAATAGATTTATGGAATGACTTACTGCTGCAAATGTGTTACTGTCGAGGTGAGTGAGTTACAAGAAACATTAGTTTCAGACAACCTTGCACTACAGTTTCTAATCTCGAACCGTTAACTTCCTTATATTGATCTGCTACTTCTGATATTTTCAAGTACTGGTTTTGTAGGGATTTTGTTTGATTGCATGGAGGATTTCATCATGGTGAAATCCTGACATGTAAATTTTTGAATCATTAGCCTCATAATTTCTTTATACGTTTGCCTACATTGTCTATCTATTTGCCTGACGTCGACGAAGTCTAACTGGCACACTCATGTTCCTTTTTTCTGTATTTTGAAGTTTCCGTAGTCACTGAGTTGATTTTTCCCCGGTTAGGGGTCGCTAGCTGGCCTCCAGCCTAGACTTCCCTCTTTTTCCGAACTAAGAGCCTGCAAGTAAACAAGACGTATACAAATAAAAAGGTTGTTCAGTTGCATAGCTTCTCTTTTTTCATTCTTTTGCTTTCCCAGTGAAACTCAAGGCTTCAAACTTGAGCTCTGAAGTTTTAGTAGCTGGAGTGAGGTTGCTACTATCACACCTGGCTTTCCATCTTTTTTGGTAGATTGGGTTTTAGCAATGCATCAGCCAAGAATCAGACGCAGACTACTGGCAGCGTGGATGACTATAACTCTGCCACTGGGCCACTGACGCGTCTCGTAATTATTATTCAGTATATAAAAACATACATGTTTTGATAAGTATACTGATAACTGCATAATTATTTTTTTGACCAGTCATCTAATGTAGAACTTTATTGTCAACTGGACAGTATTTCTGTTTAGCTTTAGGAGTAAAACGAGTATCAGCAGTCATCATTGTAAGAAGAAGAGGAGAAGTATGAACTAGAAGTCAAACTGAACGAAGAATATTTTATTCAATAAATCTTCTTCAGGTTCTTACAATCATAAAATACAGTATTTACCGTTGCAAAAATAGCCAGTTATGTGGTGGATACATTTTCACGTAGAATAACAGATTAATAAACATAGTCAAAGAGTGACAAAACAAACAGCATTCGTGTGACAAATGTACTGATTTGAATGCAATCACAAATGCGAAGCAATGGTGACTAGTCACTAATGATAGATTCATTCAATATGGGGCAGGAAAACTGACAAATCAGTTCAAGGTTGTCAAAGGTGTCAGATGTGTGGCTGGTACAAATTAGTATGCATTAAAGAGGAGATAGCAAAACTGTTGTAAATATTTCATCAGGAAATAAGCACTATATGAAATGATACAGGTGGAGGCATATATTGAGAAAAGAGGTAATGTCACTAATAATAACTCGCAATAGTATAAATTGAAAATCCGACAGTATTGAAGACATGCTAGGATGAAGGGTGTAAGTTATAAAACATTGCGGGGAAAAAGGTTAGGACGCAGATAGACGGAAACAAAAAGCAATAAACAATGCAAAAGAACAAGAGATTAGCAAAAAGGCACGCTTGTAGGGGAGAAGAGATTTTAATTCAAGTTTGGCAATGGCATGAACAACGGCTGAATGTGTTCTTTCTGAATACCGAGCCCCGGTTCGGTCGGTCTTATTGCGATAGCTTCAGCTATATGCAGTAGACGTAAGCAAACTGTGTGTAATAATGACTTCGGAATTTGGTATGTAAACCAGAAGGTTAAGTTGACGTCGATGCGATGTCCAGTATTGACCAGGCGTGAAAGAATCGAACTTTATATGCATGTGATTTCTCCCTTGCTGAACCAAGCTGGTAAATGTTCTTGAATCCGTACACGAACCTGCTTAATCAGAAGCCCTATGGAATTCGAGCCACAGGAACAGTTGAAATGGTATATACATGAGGAAGGGCTAAGTTTAGGTAAGACATCTTTCATTTTCGGAGTGAAAACTGAAGGGTAGGGACAGATGTACAGAGTAGAAAGTCTTCTTTATCTCTCTGGCTAGGCGTTGGGATAGAACCTCTGCAGAAGTCTCTCTCCTGAATTATAGACGAAAATATTCCTTTTTCTCTACAATCACCAGTTTATGTGTATGACTATTATAACCGATGTTGGCTTTTATAAACTCCTCTGGATATTTGTTTCCACTTACAATATCCCACATGGCCTGGAGTTCTTTCTGTACACAATCTTCGGAGCGAATTGAACTCGCTGTAAATTCTAAGCACCTGATCAGATTACCTTTGTATTTCATAGGTACAAAGCTAAAGAATTTTCTTCATTGAGCAGTGGTCTCTGTCTTTCTAAATATGGGTTTTTTAGTGGAACCATCCTCTCTTCTCGTTAGTAAGACGTCGAAGAACTTCAGGGAGTCGTTGCATTTTCTTTCGTAGGTGAAATGGACTGCTGGCTGAGAACTATTGAAGTATCTCAAAAGTGTAATCCACACGACGAAACTACAGTTCCAATTTAGCTATTTCATCTTTCAACGGACCATTTTCTAGTTTTGCTGGAAATATGTTCGCAAATATAGGACCTAGTGGCCACTCCATTAGCCTGTTTATACATTCCATTATTAAACAGGGACTGGACATTTGTTGTACATTTAAGCAGTAGTTACTCCTGATTGCTAGTGGGAATATCGGTGCACAGTTTTCTTTCTCCAATCTGTTCACTGATATAGTTGACGGTATCCACCATAGATACATTAATGAGTAGGGATGAGACACCACAGGATTATTATTTATTATTATTATTGTATCCTTTAATTCCTACAGGAACATAGGGCTTCAGCCGTGCGTCTCCATTGCGTTCTGTTCTCTGCTAGAGTCTTCACCTGGCTCCAAGTTTGCCCACACGTTTTCATCTCCTCTTCACATGACCTCCTCCAAGTCACCCTTGGACGACCAACTCACTGCTTCCCTTTCGGGTTCCACTCAAGGGCTTGTCTAGTGATGTCACTTGATGGTTTCCTAAGAGTATGTCCAATCCATCTCCATTTCCTCCTGCCTATTTGTTTCACAATCGGTTCCTGGTTGGTTCGTTCCCAAAGATCCCTGTTGCTGATCTTTTCTGGCCATCTGATCTTGAGTATTGAGAGAAGCCAACTGTTAATGAAGGTCTGTCTACACTACCATATTTTCATATCCACACTTCCTGTTTATTTTGTCATTTTATTATCTCTACATATTTAATCCCTGATTGCATAAACAATTGTTCATCACACTAGTTTCTTATCCAAACATCCCGTATATTTTGTTATTTTTACATTTCTAACCCCAATTGCACAATGTCAATTTTCTTAGTTATTATGCTACTTTGTTTTAGCTTTACCCATCCCCCTGTTTATTATGGCATTCTAATTCCAAATTGTAATTTTTATTAATTCAACCCCTAACCAGAAATTGTTCTGGAACTTTCCCATCCATCTGATATAAATACACGAATGTACAGCCTAGATGATGACTTCGTCGAAAAGAAAATTTTCTTCGCTGCAACTGTCTTTTTATTCCCTGTGATCAAATGTGTATATTCCGTGGTCTGTAGTTTGTTTGAGATGGTCTTTATGACGCGCCAAGTCTCTGATCCGTATAGTAGCACTGACTGACTTCACATTGGAGTTGAAAATCCGGATCTTATTTTTGATGCTGAGTGTTGTTGACCTCCACACAGACTTGATAGTAGTGAAAGCTTGTCTTGCTTTTCCGATCCTTGCTTTGATATCCTCGTCAGTTCCGCCTGTAGTTGAAACGATGCTTCCCAGGTAGGTGAAGGAAGTTGTTTCTTTCAGGTTCCTCCCATTTATGCTGATTGTTGTCAGTTGTTGTTGTTGCTGTTGATGGTGTTGCCCAGGAATTTTCATCACCTCTGTTTTATCTATGTTCACCTGAAGTCCTAACTTTGATGCTTCTTCTGCTAACTTGTTGCTTTTCGCTTGCATATCTTCCAGTTTGTGGGAAATCAGACATATATCATCGGCGAAGTCCAGATCCTCCAAGTTTTTTGTGTGTGTCCATTTTATGCCTGTTTCCTCATTGCCCACTGTTTGTCGCATTATCCAGTCTACTGCAATCAAGAAAATCATTGGCGATAGTAGGCAGCCAGCTTGTCTTACTCCTGTCCTCACTTCGAAGGGTTCCGTAAGTTTCCCATTGTGGATTACTTTGCATGCAGCATTGTCGTACATCTGCTGGATGAGATGTATTATTGTCGAAGTAGTTTCCAAATCACCTCTCGATCGACGCTGTCAAAGGCCTTTTCAAAGTCGATGAAGTTGAGATAGAGAGGTGACTGCCACTCTAAGCTTTGCTCAATGATGATCCGTAATGTGGCGATGTGGTCAATGCATGACTTGTTTCTCCTGAATCCAGCCTGTTCCGGTCGAAGTTTTCATCCAAGTTGGTGTGTTTGATTCTCTCCAGGATGATGCGGCTTAGTATTTTGCTTGGGATGGACAGGAGCATAATTCCGCGCCAGTTCTTGCATTGACTCAGGTCTCCTTTCTTTGGTAGTGTGAATAAGTAGCCTTTCTTCCAATCCTCAGGTACTTTGCCTTCTTTCCACACCTTCTCCAGTAGTGGCATCATCAAGTCCGCTGTTGTCTCCAGGTCCGTTTTCAATGCTTCTGCTGGGATTCCATCTGGTCCTGCTGCTTTTCCAGCTTTTAGCATCTTGATTGCCTTCAGGACTTCTGATTTCGTCGGGGGGTTGGTGTTCACTGGTTGCTCTGTCTCCGTTGTTGGTATTGCTGGGCGCATTGCAGGTGGTGGTCGATTTAGGAGTCTTTTGAAGTGTTCAGCCCAGTGTTTCCTTTGCTCCACTTCTTTGGTGAGTGACTTTCCATTGTCATCCTTCACCGGCTTGATTTGTTTCAAACGTTTGCCCGATAGGTACCTAGTAGTTTGATAGAGTGTTGCGAGGTCTCCTTTGCCTGCAGCTTGTTCTGCGTCACTTACCATGGTTTCATAGTACTTTCTTTTGTCTTCTCTGGCACTCTTCTTTACTCTTTTGTTCAGTGTCTTGTAGCTTGCGTTCAAATCCTGTTTTTGTTGCTCATCTGTGCACTGGAGAATCTTTTGTTTCACCATCCCTCTCTCTTCTATTAGTTTCCAAGTGTCCGTAATGAGCCATTGTTTGTGCTGTCTCTTCTTTCTGCCTAGAACTTCCATGCATGTTTGACTCCCTACTGTCTTCAAGTTGTTCCAGTGCTTTTCGACGCTGACCTCTTCGCCAGTGTTGATTTGTGTCTCGGCTTTGTCTTTTATACTTGCAGTGAAGATGTCCTTTGTGTCCTGGTCCTTCAGTTTTTGAGTGTTGAACTTGGCTTGTGGCCTATCTGCAGCTCCTGATTCTCTGAAAGCTTTTAATTTGATTTGGATTGTCCCTTGTACGAGATAGTGGTCTGAGACAATGTCTGTTCCTCTTCTTACTTTCGTGTCCAGCAGGCTGCGCCTCCACTTCCTTGAGATTGAGACGAAGTCAATTTGGTTTTTGGTTCGCCCATCTGGTGACACCCATGTAGCTTTGTGGATATCCTTGTGTTTGTATACGCTGCCACCAATCACTAGTTCATTAAAGGCGCAGAAGTCGGCGAAGAGTTCTCCGTTTCCATTCATTTCTCCCAGAGCTTCTCTACCCATGATGAGTTCCCTTCCTGTGTTGTCTGATCCCAGTTTGGCGTTCATGTCTCCCATTAGTATTTTGATGTCACCAGCTGGAGTATTGTCCATTGTTGTCTGCAGTTGTCTGTAGAATTCTTCTTTCGTTTCGAGGTCTGCGTTGTTGGTCGTTGCACAGCATTGTATAATTGACACTTTCCTTCCTTTGGAGTTGAATCTGGCGGTTATTATCCTGGGTGAGATCGCTTCCCATTGCATCAGGGCCTTCGTTGCCGTTGGTGACATCACAATAGCCACGCCCTCGGTGTGCGAGTGGTTATCTTCTGGGTGACCGGAGTAGATCACTGACTCACCCGTTGACAATTTGGTGAGTCCATTCCCGTTCCATCTGCTTTTACATATTCCCAGTACTTGAATTTTGTATCTTTTCATTTCGTTTGCGATCTGGGCAGCTTTGCCAATCTCGTACATAGTACGGACATTCCATGTCCCCACAAAGACTTTTTCTTTTATCTCAAGGAGATACATCGTGCTGAAGTTTCTGTAGCAGGTTTGTTTACAGGGTGGGGTTGCTAGCCTCACGCCTGAGAAGGGGGACTGTTACATCAATTTATAATTTAGAGAGAACCGACCTTGTGGGTTGCTCCCCTTAAAAACCAGGAAAACAGGGAATAAACAAGCAGAAAAACACCAGCACGACACCACAGGATGCCACCTATTTTTCAGTTGCGTTAGAGTTTTTTTATCTTATCAAGTAACTGAAAGGTATCCCTAAAGCTATGTTTGACTAGCTGATCATTCACGGATTGAAGTGACTATACCAGTCACTTTTCTGTCTCATGATACCTCTCGATGCTCTTAGGTGAGCATAGTATGGGGCGTATTCTTATTAATTTCCCCATATGAGGAAATTAATAAATCAATAGACACCCTTATGAATAAGGTTAAGAAATCCACAGCGGACCTTATTCGCCGAATGAAGCCGTTTCTAGGTGAGTCTAAATGGTTTAATTTAATGCCCGAAACTAATAACCCCAGAAGAATGTATGGTGTTGTTAAAGTTCATAAGTCAGAATACCTTATTGGACTTAAAGTTGATTTTAGAAATTTACCCACTTATGAATTGTCCAAATATTTAGCCATGGTATTAAATCCCCTGAAAAGCCACTAAAAATCTAGACTAACAAATTCTTAAGAACTGAAACATGGATTAGATAATTTAAAACTAGTTAATGAAGAAAAAATGGTTGATTTTGATATTGTCAGTTTGTATACACGTTTACCAATAAACATGGCTATAAAGGTAGTCAGAAACGAACTCATTTCTGACCAAGAACTTGAACTTAGAACGAAAGTGCCACATAATGCTTGGAGTGCATCTATACCTGACTTCCACAGTATTTAAATTCCAGGGGCGTATTCTTATCTTAAAATATGCCCTGGATGGGAAACTCTACCAGGAATAGTCTGAATTCAGGAAAAAACAAATTCGGAGTGTATCAAGTTGCATTGAGCGCCGGTTAGGATACTCGCCAACCATGTACATGATCCGGGGTTCGACCTCCTGACGACGAACACCTGATGTCACTGGTCGGCCTGCAAAATTAGTGCCAGCGATATCAAATGCTGAAAATTCCATACTTGTACCAAAATACGATATGGAATCAAGCTATAATCCAAAAAATTATTAGATTATGAGGGAATTTTATGACTCCTTAATTTATCGCCTGACAGGAAGACGCACCAACTGGTACAATCACAGTTATCCACTAATATTAACTGTCTTCCACTAGTGGTTATACAATTTCCAGTTGGTTTATCAAGTTAACCAAATGATAAAGAACGAACACAGAGATGAGTGCAAAAGGCATATTTAAAACGAGCAAGTCCAGGTATGTGTAGCAAGTTGAGAGCATACCAAAATAGTACATAATACTGGCCGATGATATGTACACTTGACAAAAGGATAAAATTAATTGGTTGTCTGTCAGCCTAAGTAATCAATTGTATTAGCACCGAGTAAACACTGATTGTTTCACTTACAGAACCCAGATATTCTCCACATATCACGAGAAGTCTGGTGAAGAATATTGTGTGAAAAAGAGGGATTGTGAGAATTCTGTCATGAGATATTTTCCAGCATTCGGTGTATTCATCAGTAGTCATTCGACCACTGAAACTGTGATGAGAAGAACCATTAGGTCAAAGGTTTTCATGTTCATCAGGTAATGAAAAAGGCTTACAACTATATACCTACTCTAAGAATCACAGTTATTACCTTTCAGGCAGGTGTTCAAAGCCGGTTTCAAAGGAAACATAGTTCTAACAAGAACTTGTAAGTGATCAACTGAACACAAGAGAAATGGAATTCAATATAGAAAGCATGAAATTTTTCTTCCCCTCGATACATCACCTATAAGCGTCTCTTCAGTGAACTGTTGAATGAAGTTCCATCCACCCAATATACGCACCATAAAAGATGAGACGAGTTCTACAATAAGAGCCGAAAATCAGTCCATCGGTATTCACATGTAGATCTCATGATCTCAATGATATTCAAAACAGTGGAAGAGACGCTTTATGTGCGTCGGTGGCACAGTGGTTAGGACTCTCGCCGACCATGCACATGGTCCGGGGTTCGAACCCCTGCCGGCGCACACCCGATATCTATGGTATGCCTGAATTTGGGCAACCGATATCCATGCTGAAAGTTCCACACTTGTACTGAAAATACGGTGTGGAAATCAAGCTGTAAATAAAAAAAAAAAAAAAAAAATAATAGTTTTCTTTCCAGTTGGCCATATGATTTTCAGTATGGAGCAACGGCAAGTATTAATGAAAGTCTGCAACAGCCTGTTGAAATACTCTTCTTGACGCACCATATCTCTAAAGCTTGACTAGTTTATTAGCCGGCCTTAAGCCTGGAAAACGAAGGGAATTCGGGAGTGGACCTAGCTGGCCTACTCTGGAAATCCATTCAATCTCAGAAGAAACTTCACATCACAGTGAAATGTTTTTTTTTAATTAAAAGAATTCTTTCCTGATAATAAAAAATATACTCTTTACTTCCTTACTACAGGCCCAATACATATTCCTTCATCATTTCGCTCATTCATTATTTCAATGACAGTCTATTTCTGAGTCAGTTTTTCAAATTGACCTACCAGTTTCCATCAGAGTAAGTTAGGAATGGTTTTTTGTATCAATAGTAGTATATTCATATAAGTTCACTGTATTTTTGCTTTTTTTCGGTGTGAAATGGCTTTCTATAAAACTCGAGTTGCATTCAGATACTGACAAGTAACTGTTGCTTTCAGTTTATAGATCATTCTAGCAGATGTTAATTATGTATGGTATGTACTACTAATTGATATGAGTAGTGCTTTGGAGCGCGTTAGAATTAATGTAAACACGGGATGACGTGTAATTCATTTGAAATTGAGGTAATCAACGGTGTACCCAGATAGACAGTTGAATCGATTCAAGCTATCCGAATATTTTTTGGTTTCTAAATGAAATTGTGTTAACTTTTCACCTAGAACCTAGAGCGGTCCGCAAGTGACGAATTCATTTCGAAATTATAAACAGTTGAATTTTAAATAAGCCTTGAATATGCGTTCCTCAAGTTTTGTGAGCTGGGAGGAAAACGTTGTACACTACTTCCTGGCTCCCTTCTGTTGAAGTCACGCGAAATTAACACCGTGATTTCCTCTTGTCGATTCCTTGAGTTCCGAAGGGAACACAGGACTCAAAACTTTCACATTTTCAGTAGCGGTCGTGTTGTTTTTACAAAGTGGAGTTGCTAGCCTGAGGCCCAACACTACCTCTTCCCTGGAATTGCTACGGTCTGGGAAAAGTTTAAGAGTGCATCTGCTGAAAAACTAAATCCCTGACCACTTGCGTAGCGGTTAGCAAACATTCTACCACTGAACCACTGACTCATAATGACGAATTTGATTCTTTGAAAATGTTAGAAAAAACTCTGTTCAAAGAATTAAGTGATCAAAAAGTTTCTTTTTTTAAAAACACAAACACAAAATTGGTCAGTAAACATTTGTTTTGTTTTTTAGTTTTATTTTAAACAGATGATAAATAGTTTTATTTTTATTTAATATTTACAGAATTACAATTTTATCAAGAAATCTTTTTAAATTAACTTTCATCCATAAACGAGAAACAAGAGATGCCTATGTCAATCAATCAAATATCATTTCAATTTCTCTTTTTTTCCGAGTGACAGGCGGTGTATGGTATGGAAGCGTGGGGTGGTGTGAAGCGGAGTACATTTCTGTTCAGTAATTATTGAAGTTGCTTCTTAATTACTGCACAAATTATTTCATATTTTGTCCCACACCATTATTATCCCCTTGCTCAGTTATTTTCTCCACTTCTTTCCCAATTATCACTGGCGTCTCTGTATAGACGTGAATATATGCGCATATATATATATATATATATATATGCAGATATATTTATGTAGATTTACTTTTGAAGAGAAAATTCACAATTAAAAACAGACACCAGCACTATTAATTATGCCCCATATTCTATTTCATATTTTTAATTATTTCAGTAATCAAAGAAATAATTGATCGATAAACAGATTCCCTTTTTACTGTTTCATACAGAATTGTAAATTCACTGGCCTCTCATCATGTCACACACAATCTTGACAATTATGTTAATAATAGAAAAAACTTTTTATATGCAATTCAATTTATTAATGAAAATAAAATAGTAATAATATTACTCAGTTGTTTTTGGTTGATGATACCTAGTAGTGGAATCCAAGATGGGTGGCTTTCGTCCTATTTAAGACTCGTCAGTTGGACGTATTGATAGGAACCAGCATAAAATAGTATATCATCTTTTTTCACGAATCTTGTGGTTTACCTATTGACGAAGTTACTATATTAATCTATCGTTTCTCACACATATTGTGATTTATTGTGTGATCAATTCATCATCTTTGTTTCCACATTGGTCTTTGTCGTGTCGCCAGCCAATCAGAATAGCTATTACCAGCCAATAAAAACAATCCATTCTCACGGCTGGTAGCCGATTGTATTATGGTAAATAAAATGAATAAATATGTGTTGTTTCTGAATAAATATACAGTATTTTGTAGTCACAGACACGCCTTTGTCTTTTGATTTTTGCCTGGCTTAGTGAAGTGGAATGTATAATGGACGAATAGGCGTATTTACGTGCCAGTCGAGTTCATTACCGTAAAAATAATTAGCGGCGCAGGTATAACACGTACCTATATCCATATAAGTGATGACGTTCCCTTAAACTGAGACTCGAATGTAGCAGGATTATCTACTGAGCTACTGAATCATGAGAGCCAACTATTATGCTGAAACGAAAATGGATTTTCAGTGTGGAAGTTGACGTTAGTTTTGTGCAGCTGCAGAATTCACGGGACAATTGCTAAAGGCCGATCACACACCACCTGTTAAAGTGCTTTTCCCAACTGTGTCCGTAGGACAACCTTACTACCAGCCACAGACTACCACAAAATAAGCTGCAGCGTACAGTTTTACGATCAACCTTGTCTAATACCTCTTCCACGTAGCTGGTTTACCAGTCGTCTGAGCGAAACATCTTACCCCTATTACATCCCTATCCACCAAAAGTATAATTTATGCCCTCACACTCCTCAAAATAGTGTGGACTATTTACAGTATGATGGTAATTGCTTTTTTTAAGCTTCTATTCAAATGACCTTCCTAGTATGGTAGAACATTCAGGTACATTCATTCCGGTATATGTAGATCCTTATGCTATTGTGATATGCAACCCCAACCACCACCCTTTGTGCAACAGGTCACAGTTATTACTTGTATAAATTATCATGAATTTTCCCTTGTTGAATTAAACTGGGCCGAAATGGCCGGTCTGTATTTACAAGTCCTCGTATAATACGAATGCATTGACGATGTCAGATTAACATGATGTCATCAAATTGGTGATGACTAGCAGTGGGAGCGAGGATGCAGATTTCGTCTTATTCGGGACTCGTGAGCTAGGTGTACATACGTCTCCAGCGTGTGATTTCAGGTTGGGTCACGATTCGATATCATGTAGATAACCAGGGAGAGTACTGAACAAATCAAATTAATACAAACTAACCCTTTAAAATTAATCCTTTTCTCACTAGTGAATGACTACAAGTCAAAGTTGCCTGGAGTTCTAGTAAGAAGTCGAAACCAGTGAGGTCCACCAGCACGTCAGGTGTTAGGACGAATACTCGCCACCACTGACTGGGAGTAGCGCTATATATATATATATATATATATATTACTGCCCTGCTTGAAATGTTAAATAAACAACTTTAACCTGTCCCGCATAAATGTGTTAGGCATATTTAGTAATTTCATGTTGAGAAAATAAAATTCTACCAGCCACAAACAAGTTCACTTGATGAAAAATCTTAGATTTATCTCCCAAATAAAGGTTAATCAAGCCAACATTCTTAAGAAAGTCAATTAAAGAGGAGGCTGATGTAGGGCAACTGTACCTCAGCAGATTTACTATAAACGCTAGACTCAATCAGTCAGCTACAAAAGGTATACAGGAGGATGACACAAGTAACCAGTTAAGAACTATATGCTTTTCATGATTTATGAGACTCTCCTTCTCTGTCCTGGATAATGGACGCTTCTCCGCTTCACTTACCCACTAGCTTGTTAACGAAATACACATTCGAAAATAACTACTGTCCTATTACTCCATGCACACTATCAGCCAGTATTTCGTGCAAATAAACGGGTGTGGAGGCCGAGAAATGTCAAATTATACGTTCATTGTAATATAGTAAAAACAATGAATTCACTGCACATCATAGGAGTTGAGTGATTTATTAAATAAAGACTCAATCTTGTTCACCCCCTCACTACGGACGATACAACTTCCCTTCTCCAGCTTTTTACTTCCCACTATTGCCACTCATCGATAGCCTAAGCCTAATTCGTATATCCGCGTTTTGGATCTTTTACTTCAACCTCCTCTTCTCTCGGGCTGTTGGCATATCCTTGTGTGGAATGAACAATGGCAGATCAAAAGGACTACTTCATTACTTCAACTCCGAACACCTTTATTCGGGTATTTTTGAACAATTATAACTCACCAAATAACTGTATGTTATATATATATATATATATATGCATAGATCTATGTATACCTTAACTCAAGTTAGTATTTGTTTTGTTATTTTCCTTCGCGTATAAACGAGCTTAGCCGGTTCGTCCGCTATACGGGTTTCCACAGTCATCCCCACCTTCATTGAAGCTCTTTTCAATGTAGTTGCATAAGACAATAAGAAGCGTAATAATAATAATTATTATTATCATTATATTAGAATTTGATAACGTTGAACTGAATCTGCATACAGCTTATAATATTCTTTAATTAGATATAGAAACGGAGCTTCTATGCCGACTGCCTCTTTCTATAATTGTAAATTTAGAGAAAACATGATATCTCTTATCAATCCTGAACAAAACTTAACATTTGTGCAATGAAAATGACTGTTGTGAAAAACCCTACTTAAAAAATATTAAGTATAATAAACAAACAAAAGAATCCAAGTCTTCAATTTCTCAGAGTCCATTGCTATCAAATATCCAAAAACCTGATTTTTATGTTTTAAAAACAGATGTGACACTAAATCTCTAATTGACTATATACTGTCTTTCTAAGTGTTGGTTTGCAGGCATTTGAATAATTTCAAGCTAAATGACAAACTGACTTCAACCAGACAACTACTGAAGACCACCGAGGCGTGCTTGACAGCTGTTTGTTGTTGGTCTTGGACCCACCATCAGTAGTACGCACTCACTAATCCACCGCTAAATATAGAACTCAGAATCTCCAGGCTACAAGGCCAGCTAGTTGGCTGTTCAGCCACAAATACAGAATCCAGTGACCGGCCCATCACTTCTAACTTATTAAAATAAACCCATCTTATTTTTGTAAACTTCATTTTCTTCACTGATAATATCATAATGTGTAATGTAATCTTGTAAAATATTCCCCATCAATATCTTTTTATCGCTCTTGCCGTTTTTTGAGAAATTGCAATTACATTTAATGCATAACTGAAACGACTCATTGCACTTTCATTATTTGTTTTGTTCTGATTATAGCTTGATTCCACACAGTACCTTTGATACAAGTATGGAATTTTCAGTATGTTATAGCGGTAGCGCAAATTTTGCAGGCTGACCAGTGATATCAGGTTTGCCTCGGCAGAGGATTGAACCCCAGACCATGTGCATGGTTGGCGAGAGTCCTGACTGCTGTTCCACCAACGCAGTTCACAAAATACATTCAAAATAAAATGCATGTGTCCGTTTTAGGGTTACTCAGTGTGCAGCGTACAACAAAATAACATTGCAGTACTATTCAGCATCTTTTAATTATAATACTATATATTAGAAGCCAATAAAAATTAGGCCTCAGGCTCATGTTTCTTCTCTAACTGTTGTCCGAGCTTTTACATGAGAATGTTGAATGAGTGACTTCGCTTTCAAGCGTGTTAGGAATCAAACAGATACAAATTGACAGTGAGCCTTGTGTAAAGGTGTATCACATCAGAACAGCACACATAGTAAAGTAACTAATAAGCAGAATGATATTATAATGAACAAGGGTATTACTGGTCCAATGGTAGAGTGCCCACCAGCCACACAGGAGGTCCGATTTCGAATACCGGAGGGAGTATTCCCAAATGTCATATAATCAGTAGCAAGCCCAAAAAAGAGGGAGAGTTGGATATAAAGATAGCAATCCCACTCTGTAAGAGAAAAATTGACGTCACCCCTACTGAAACTTCAAGCTATAAAGACCTGTTTCTCACTTGGATGACAAAGGAATAGAAAAATAGTAGTGACGACCATAAAGATGTATAAGAAAAGACAATAATTAAATGCAAACTGCTGGGAATGTCCCACATCTCAGTGATAAAGATGAGATTATCATGAATCTTCAATTGCTGATACCAAACATCTACATAGATAACCAATATATCTTTATTTGATTTATTTACACCGACAGTTAGAGATATCTGGATTAACGTCGTGGTCGGTTTTAGCGGGTAGTGACTTGTACCCAGCGGAATGATTTCTTTCTAAGAAAGTAGTGACTTGAATTGGGAAACAGCACTTGATGTCAGTGTTTGCCCAGTTTTGCATTAGATCCTCTAGTTCTAGTGATCATTGGAGTTGCTGATGACACCAGTGGACAGTAACACCATATATTGCGAATCGGCACAACTTCGCATTCATGGGACATTGGATCCCATCAAAATGGCTTAATGGTCAGGCTATTTACCCCGTGGAATTGAAGTGCCGCGTAGGATTCCCAATGGGGTCATCGGTACACATTGTTGAGGAGTCCCAAACTATCAGGAAACAACTGTCTGGTACTCACTAGTTCTAAATGATTGTCGAAATAATGTTATTTCGTGAACTAACTTAATATTCTACGTTTATTTAGTCTCACTCCCCCAGATATTGTGTATTTGAAGTGTTGTAACATAAATTGCTCCCTGCTCTGAGAACTCGCTAATTTGGATTGTTTTAGTGTTTTGATTTCACTAGTCATTATGGTCATTACGGTACAGATAATGTTTGCATAAGAGAATCATCTGATGAGTCAAATCTTGATTTTCATGAACCTTAAATACAGATATATACATGCCGAATTAAATCGAACAGGAACAAATTTATTACTAGGGAGAACAATGTTTATGGTATGCAGATGTCGGCTCCTTATGAGCCAACATCGGTTGTAGAACCAATGAGATTCATCAGTTTCCTTCCAGGTCAGACCGTCTAGCCTTGTACACCTGAAATGCAGATAGGGCTAGAACTTAGTACGAGACTTACATGTTAGAATTCATAAAATCAATAAATTTCAACTTGATGAACGAATGGTATAATGTGCTTGCCTAGTAATGTCAGGTGGTCTTAGATTCGATATCTCGATGGTTATAGTTGTGTTCATGATAACGGTACAGTTCTTTCGTATGTAATCAGCACTCACAATTTTATTATATTCACATAATATAAAAGAGCTACCAGATATAACGAGAAATTTCACTCCTACTGGCTGAAGCTTACAAATGAACATACAGCCCTTAAAATTAATTAACTAAATTCAAGTAGAAGCCAAGTGGTGAGATTAATTTGAATGCCATTTGAGTGGAAATTTGTCTCGAGTGAAATGATGTAAGAGTGTATACCGAGTTAGGTGCTATTCCTAACCATTTACTTGGTACTCTAAACTAATCTTCACTTTAATTTGAGGATAATAATAATATTCTGAAGAATATAAATAATAATACGAATAAGTTAGTCCTTTAAAATAAAGCAGATAAATTAGAGTTTGAAAATTAATTCCGACAGAAGTGCACTAATGCATTTAGACCAGTGATCTTACTTGATATACTTCCTCGTGGAATTAGGATTAATTGGTGTTGAGAAACCAAATGACATAAGAACTGCTGTCAGCCACATTTTGAAAACTACTGCACATTATATTATGGATGCAGCCAGGGATTTCTGAGTACTGTAAGATCCTTTGTAGAGTTTTTAAATGCTCAGGTACCTAACTTAACGTATGTTAGTCATCTTAAGTACTACATACAAATTGATATTCCATGCTTAAAGAAGTTCCTAGTCCCGGAGGAAATATAAAGACTAGACATTAATCTTGTCAGAGGAATTTACACCTTCATTATGGGGAGAGGATCGACAGTCTAAAACTCTTCTCATCACTGTACCGTGACGTTGTTCTAGGTTATTGCATTCAAAATGGTGACCCTGATGCTGACCTTTCTGGCCTTTTACGATATCTCTAAGAGGTCTTTACAAAAGAGTTCATAAACCGCATTCGAATAAGATAATCTCACATAGGGTGGTCGGAGACCGAAATTATCTACCTGATCAAATGGTATCAGCTCCTATATTAAAAGCTTTCAAACAGAAGGCATATGTTGCAAAGAATAACACAAACTACCCCTCGGTCATAGTCATTTATCACAGAAGACTAGAGATTAAAGACCACATCAACCTGCAACTAATGGTCTCCAAAATCAGATTTACCATACCGCAGATCGAGAAGCCATCTTAGTTTTTTTAATTAGCCGTTTAATATATAAAAACTTCCACCACAATACAATGTATCAAAGTTGTTAATTGAATTGTGAAATGGAAAGCATGATGCAGCTATGAAACACTTTCGTTCTCCAGACGCAGAAATTTGTTCACTTCTATTACAGGATAAAGATATTCAAATTAAATACTGCTAATAAATTTTCGGAGGAAAGTCATGGGACATGAGAAGCTGAGGCAATCTCGGTCATAAAAACGAGGAAAATCAAAAAGCAGCTTGTCGACTTGTGTCCAGATAAGACTTGGGAGTGTCTCAGACAGTGAAAACAATCTAGGGCATTTGAGTTAACAAAAGAGGATAAGTCGTGCGGAGGAAAAACTAGACTTACAGCAGAAGTTTCAAAGTATGGAATGTTTAATTCATCTGCAAACTTCTGGGCTTTATCCTTGTCTATAACACGTCTAAATCCAAGGTCTATCTTACTGCCCACAAGAACAACTGAAGTATAGTTGCTTAATAAGAAATGACACTTACTTGGTACGAACATCTCACTGGCTTGCTTTCGGTATTCCGATACCCTCAACTTTGCAGTAGAGAAGCTTTCAGCATCGGTTACATCAAAAACAACAACCACAAGGTTAACGACATCAAGCTACGGAATAACTTGAAGAAACTGCTTACATAATGCTTCGTAAAATCATGAAACACTTCTTTTCCTGGGAAACAGTACAGGAATAGCTCCTAAATAACTAGTTCAGTTTTTTTTACTTTACCATACGATGTTATCATTTGCTTCCGGTATTATCATTGTCTTCACTGTCAATTCAACAGTCGCTGACTAGAATTCATAGTGCCATTGAAATAAATTGGTTACCATGCAATAATTTTTTGTAAAGTCTCTGCCATCACTGCAAAATGACTGAGTAATAGACGTTTTCCCAGACGCTTCACTTCCTATACAGTATTATTATAATTAGAGGAACTGACCAATTAATATACACTTAGCTCTCAAGGTTTTGTGCATTTTAAAACGTCAGTGGGAAGAAGCTATGACAACGGATTTATCTTCCAATGTCCAATATCCTGATTACGACCTAGTATAAACCAGTGATTTCTTTAAGCTCGCTTCTTGATTGTAAGGTAGAGGTTCCAGATCTTCGGTGAACTTATGCGTAGTAAGTCTCGCCACTCGACTGCTTTGGCTCTGGTAGACTCCAAGAGGAGTGGTGCGAGGATTGGTCAAGATTGTGGTTTGTAGTGTGCAGTATGTTAGGACTCAGCTGCTGCCGTGAATGGAGTTTGACCTAACACCCGTTGGTCATTCGGTGTAGTCATAAAAGTAGAATAGTAATAATAATAGGTTGTAGTGTAGATAAAATAGGTTGAGATAAGTGAAATAGTAAAGGTGAAATAATAAAGGTGACCAAAGAAAAGATAGAGTAGTTGGTAAAGTGAGAGAAGACAGGACGGGTCGTGGGGATTTAGCTTGCATGCTTATCCATTGACAATGTGGTTTCAAATTTTAAGAGGATAAGCCATTGAGACACAAACCTTGCATTTCTGCATAATTGTCCAGCTTCCGCTTAAAAGTCTCCACAGATGGCGCTGTAGTTACGGCCGCCGGTAAAGCATTCCAAAGATGGCAAACTCGAAGCAAGAAGAAATGTGAACGCACTCGAGTCTTTGGTCTCTGGTGTGCTATCCTTAGCGGTTACCTCGTGGAAGCCTATAATCACTTAATGGTAGGATGCTTTTATTAGGGTGGGCCTGGTCCAATATCCAATATCCAATATCTTTTTACGAGCTAGTATAAACCAATTTGATTTCTTTGCGCTCGCCTCTTGATTGTAAGGTAGAGGTTCCTGATCTTTGGTAAACGTCTGTGTAGCTCGTCCCGCCACTCGACTGTCGTAGCTTTGGTTGACTCCAACAGGAGTAGTGCTGGGATTAATTATATGGCGTCTGTAGTATGAAGTGTGTTAAGACTGTTACTACTGTGAATGGAGTTGATCCTTTCACCAGTTAGTCTTTCGGTATCGTCGTCAATGGAAAAGAGATAATAATAATAATAATAATAGATATAATTAGTAAAGGTATTCAGACTAACAGACAGAGAAAAAAAAATAAGAAAACGTAACAACAGTCAGTCAACCGGTATACATATATATATATATATATATAATATATACCAGTAATAATGATAATAATAATAATAACAATAATAATAATAAGTGTAGTTAAAGCTGTCAGGAGAGTAAGACTGAAGGGAATGTGAAGAAGTAAAACGACCAGTTTAATTGTCTATCTTTGAATGGTATATGCGATTTTAAGGGGATAGGCCATTTGGATACAGTCCTTGTGTCACTGCAAGGTTGTCCAGCCTTCGCTTAAAGGCGTCCACAGATGGTGCCATAGCTACATCTGCCGGTAAGGAATTCCAGGGACGGCAAACCCGCAGGGAAAAGAAGTGGGAGCGCACCCGGGTCCTTGCCCTCTGATGAGCTATCCTTCTGGGATTTCCACGAGGGAGCCTATACCTACTCAATGGCAGAACACCTTTGTTCGGGTGATTCTGATCATTTGTTATTTTGTAGGCAGTGATTAAATCCCCCCTCAGGCGACGGTAACTGAGTGTGAATAGGCCTAATTTCTTCAGCCTTTCGTCATATGGTTTATTTCGGAGTCCAACCACTCCTTTTGTTGCCCGTCGTTGGGCTCTTTCCAAGAGGTTGGCGTCTCTTTTAAGCAGTGGGGGTGCAATGATATTATGCACTTCAAGATGCGGTCTGACGAATGTTTTATACAACCTTAGAAAGAGCTCAGGAGTGAGTGCACCTAATTGTCTATGTGTAAAGTGTATGACCGCATGTGCCCTCGCTACGTGCCCCGTGTAATTCACGCTTGTGTCCATTTTCTCCGTTAGAACTAGACCTAAGTCACGTTCCGACGTTGAGCAGGACAAGCTTTCATTGCACAGGGTGTAACTTGCATTCTGCAGTCTACAGGTGCGTAACTTCACTACTTTGCACTTTTTCAGGTTGAAAGTCATTCCACTGGTTACCGCCCAGTCTTCCAGAAGCCTTAGATCTGCCTGCAGCCTATCTGAGTCCTCCGGACACTTTACCGCCCTCCATATCTTTACGTCATCAGCGTATAGAAGAGTCGGGCAGTTTAGACGGCATGGTAAATCATTGATAAAAATCAAGAACATCAGTGGTCCCAGGATAGAACCCTGCGACACTCCTGATGACGAGCTGTGCCACGATGATCGGACTCGGTTGACCTTGGTGCAAAATTGCCTTTCAGTTAGGTAGTCCTTCAACCATGACAGAAGTGGTTTACCTAGACCTACCTGGCTTATTTTGTGTAGGAGAAGGTCATGGTGAACAGTGTCAAATGCCTTCTCAAAGTCTAGAAAGATCACATGGACAGGAACATTCATATCCCAGCATGATGTCCAATCGTCCCAAGCTGATAATAAGTTAGTGACGCAGGATCTTCCTTTCCTGAAACCATGTTGGGCTTCATGGAGTATTTTAGACCTATCCAGATATTCCCTGATGTGATCATCAATAATACTTTCCAGTACTTTCGATACCACTGGGAGTAGAGCTACTGGTCTATAACTGGTGGGATTTTGCCTATCCCCACCCTTGAAGATCGGAGAAAGGATGCTTCTTTTCCATTCCTTTGGCAGTTTCCCCGATTCCATGGAGTGTTGGAACAAGTCGCATAAAGGCCTACAGAGAGCTTCGGCGCACTGTTTCAGAACAGATGGCCTGATGTCATCACAACCTGGGGACTTCCCAGGTATAAGTCGCTGCAGCTTTCTCAGTACTATTGCAGGGTTTATTTGAGGGGTGGCTATTTGGTCTTCCTCCTGTGAAATAGTCATGCCACCATTTTGGTTCGTAACGGTAATACCCACATTGCTGTTTAGCTGTTTGGCGAAGGCTAAACTGAATGTTTCAGCCATCTCCAGACTAGTGAGATACTGACCGTTTTGGCCTACTAAGGCGCAAGCCCCTTGGTTGGTTGGTTTCCTTTCCGACATGAATCGGTACAAATTCTTCGGGTTTGCCAGGAGTTTTTTAGCAAGGTTAGCCTGGAATGACCTTCTGTCCCTCCTGACTCTTGCATTGCACCGGTTCCTGAGTTCCAGGTATGCATCATGGTCGATCTGGCTTCCAGATACGCGCCACGTAAACCAAGCCTTCCTCTTTGCTTGCAGAATACGCTGCGTGCCTCTCTTTAACCATGATGATTTTCTTTTTGGCTGTGCTGTGACTAAAGGGACGGTATCCGAGATCGCTGTATGAATAATCTTTTTTACCGCTTCCCAGAGTTCATCCACAGACAGCTCATCCCATGCTAAGGGCCAGTCTGCATCGAACAAGAGCCTCCGCATTTCAGCGTAGTCAGCCTTGCTGTAACACAGACATGGTTGCGTAGCGTCCCACTGCAAGTGCTCACGGAGAACGAGGTCGAAGCCTATGACTGCATGGTCACTACTTCCTAGAGGAGTCATGACCTGGACCTTTTCGACGAGTAGTTGGTCACTAGTTAGAATGTAGTCTAGTTTTGATGACTTTCCACTAGGGCCCCACCTAGTGTCGTCTCCAACATTCTCAGTCAGTCCCGTGTCCCGAATAGCTTGCAGTAGATTTCGGCCGAATTTTCCCTTAGCATACCCCGAGCCAAGGTTCAGTGATGGGGCATTGAAATCTCCAGCAATGGTGATTTGGTCATAGCCCAAGTCTCGTATCCCTGTGATAGTGCTGAGCAGTAGCTGATTGTGCTCTGCCCCACAGGTGGGAGATCGGTAGATGCCACCAAGTAAATGCTTGGTGTGGCCTACGGTGAAATGACACCATATGGAGTCTGGGAGTTCAATAAGTGGTGGGTCCGTTGCGCGAACACATTTAAGTTGCCTGTCAAAGTATATGGCAACTCCCCCTCCTTCCTTATTGTCCCTGTCTCTCCTGACCAAAACCATATCACCTATACTGATTTCATTATCGGCGATAGTGGGGGTTAGCCATGTTTCGGTGAGAATGATTATTTTCAGTTGTAGGTGTGCTTGGAGATTTCGGAGTTCACCTATTTTTACTCTCAGCCCCCTCACATTGCTATACAGGCAGCTGACAGTGAGTCTTACAACCTCAGCGTGTTGTGGGGTAGTTGACGTGAAGCTATCTGCTGGTAGGGAACTTAGTGTTGGGACTAATTGGCCGGTTCCAATGGAACCGGCCCATTGTGGTTTTTTCCCTTGGATTTAGGCAGGACACTTGGGTGGCACAGACTGTTATTCTCAGAACTGCATCGCTCGAGTGTCACTGAAGCTTGGGGACGTATTAAAGCCTCAGTTTGCTGCCTCCTTATGGTTCGAGGAAAAAAAAAAAAAAATCGGATGTTTCCTCCCAATTTCCCCTTGATCTCATACCACCGTTGAAGTGTTATGGCCAACTGCTCTGGGGAGTTGAATGTGACACTAAGCAGCCTTGGGGAGCTAATCAGTGTGAGATGAGCGGGGCGAGGTGGTCGGTAAACGGAGATGGCTCCAGAAGCGCCAAGGGCCATCTGAGACGACAGCCATCTCCACTGCTGTACGTCATGCATGTGTTTTTCACAGGCAGTGCCCGTTTCCAGCTCCGGGACACCGTGCACTACCATAGAGGTGGAAGGCAAAAGTTCCGGTGACTCCCTTGCCATTTGTCTGACAGCCCATGGTCTGTCTTGTCTCACCCTTATGTTAGAGCTTCTGTCGATGGCTAGTACCTGAGCCATCAATAGTACCTTTTCGGCCTCTTCGGCAGAGTCCAGTGTAACCCGTAATGGGGGTGGCTTACCTTGAGGTGTGTGGACACCCCTGTACAGCCTGCACAATTTCACTGAACTAATATTCAGACCTAGTTTATTGCACAGGTTGGACCACTGTTCCTGATCAAACAGGGCCCGCTGTTCAAGCAAGCTGTCCTTGCTCACAGGTACGTTAAAGAGGATGAGCGAATTAGACCGATTAAC